AATTGTCGTTGGGTGCCCCTGTTTATTGATATTTAACTTAGAAATGTCACCGCAATGTTTCACACTTAGTTATACTTAACGAGATAATGTTACTCGAGTGACTTTTAGCTTTTGAAACAATTAATGTTTATTTAACGCCCAGTTACAAAAACAATGAGAATAAAACACCATTGTGGATTATGTCTATTCTTGACCATCAAGAATTATTGCGCTTTGAGCGATTAAGTTAGAAAGAACACCCTTGACTGTCAATTCCAAAGTTTCTTTGAGGGGAGGGGTAAACTGCCCACCTACCGCTCCCTTAACTCAAGTTGACAATAACTTCTAAATAACCCAAAAAGTTTGGTTAAGGGAGGGGTAGGCAGGCAATCCTAGAATCCTATTCTGATCGAAGGCCAGGGTACTCTGGGTGTTACTATAATATCGAGAAATGATGCAATCATTATGTCATGAGCATAGGACAATGAAAAAGTCTGAGTCTCCGAGAGGAATTGAAGCTATGGCCTTCCGTACACCGGTCGAATGCTCTAATCACTAAGCTGTTTGTATTCCGTAAACTCATTACTGGGCTTATACATTTTCGTAAGGGGTTTTAGGATCGCTAATGGGGCTTATAAAACGCTTCGAAACACTGAGCTACAGCAAAGCTTGTCAAAATTCGTTTTGTATTTATTGGGTTTTAATTATCAAGCGTCAAACAGCTGCGTCAAACCTCATAGTTGCAGCGAGAATGGGGTCCTATTTCTTTCTTCTACTAGATTTACCCAGAGTTATACGCGTTTCGGCTCGAGTTTTCTCAAACTTTCCGTACTCATGTTGGCACTCGCATCTTAGCCTATTCTTATTTCTAACGTGAAGACTGTCGTTTAATTGAATTAAACCATGATGGGCTAGTGACAGCTGCTTTGTACATGTTATTATGAAAATATTGAAAACCCTTGTCAACCGAAACAGCAGCTTTAATAGCTTCCATCTTGGTTTGCAGAGGTTTCCTTCTGTCCCAAAAGTGTTGGCAACTGTACGTCACAGTAGCATTAGCATGCCACAGGACGCTATGAACATGTGGATAGAAGAGTTACAGGAAGACCACTTTAGAGTCTGCCTGCGGGAAGTAAAAACATTTGACGGCAAGTACCAAAATATTCAAGTGGTAAGTTGATCTGTTACGTGAGTTTTAATTGTTTGTGAGCAATAATTTTCATACGGGCTCTGTTGTTAGATAGACTTTTTAAATTTTTTCATTTAAAAATGAGGATTATCAAAACACAGTCTGAGTTTTCTGTCATTTTCGGTTGAGTCTTATGAACTAATAAGAGTCTTCTGAGGTAAAAGTAAAATGAAATATCGGACTGGTCCGTTAAGGTTATCAAATCGCCGAAAAAGCGTCAATGATCTTCTGATTGCTTTTGTTAAACTTTCACCATCCGGCAGAGTTATTAGCTTCGTCAGTTTTACTATTACAGCATCCTCTCTAAGCAGCAAACACTAAATTAGCAACTGATTGCAACAAGTTGTTTTGTTTTCTAGGACTGGTTGGCCTTTACCCAAGGAACTGGTGAGATGACATTCCATGGAAAACTACAGTTTGAGAATGGTGGCGCTCCACTGGAACGAGACAACTTTGCTTTCTGCAAGGTGATAAACTAATTTTGGTAGTGGGACGTTGAAAAGGTAGATATTTGGAATTTTACCAGCAACTTATTTGTCTTGCAGTTGGAAGAGCTAAGACATGATGAACTTTGCGACAAATCAAAGAATTCAATGCGCTTTGAATTTTCGAAAGTAATACAATTATCATGTCCTGTGTTGCCTTTAACATTTGTAGCAAATGTAAAACGTGGTGAGAATAAGGAAGAATGGCACTTTTGCCTTTCATTTTTCGTCTCTCTTCCCTTTAATCAATAATGCAGGCTAAATTTGCTTCCTGTCACTTCTTTACAGGTCCTTAACTATACCGAGACATTTTATGCACCTTCCGTTGTTATGGTATCAGTCAGTCATCTTTATGACAGCAATAACGTTTATTCTGTTAAGTCGGAGAACAATGTTCTGAACGCCTGGATAGAGGTAAAATAGCGACAATCTTGACTGTCATACGCACGCTTAATTGCAACTTGAAAATTAATTTATTTTTACGTTAAAGTAGGCTGCTGACTAATAGATTCCCACCATGTTTATCTTTTATCTAATACGGTGAGTGTTTACGATTTGTGACCACAGGAAATAACGACGTACCTTCTGAAAAATTAAAATGAATTTTTAAATTCAATCTTGATGAAAGCTTGGTTAATAGAGGCTTTATAGTTTCTAGTTGCTAAGCTCTGCTGTCTTCTTTGTGGCTTAAATTCAATTCAGTCTTGGCTGGACATTTTTTTAACCAAACAGTCTTACAACTTTTTGCTGTTGTTGTTGTTGTTGTTGTTATTGTTTGTTTTCAGGATTCCTCTCCCAAAAAGGCCGTCATCGCCTCAGTCACAACCCAGTCTGGGCTGAAGCAGTTTGCGAACAAGTTCCACTGGAACCTTACGTCTTTTATCCTGATAAACCGGTTCACATACAGGTTTCTGTCAATCACGTGAACTTCTCAGACCCAGCCTATGTTCACGAGGCAGTGGTTGCTTGGGTTGAAGACATCATGGGGAACAATTTCACAGTGTGTGTCACACAGGCTGGTAGAAACGAGAGGAGAAATGGAGAAACGTTTGCCACAGTGGACTGGCTGGCGTACCAGGGAGCCCCTGACGGGGGAGTGTCGGGTGAGATGGACATGCCAACCTGGTGGACTGGGACGAGCTGTCGTACAGTGTCTCTACCCTCGGTGAGTTCAATTTGTAGTATTCTCAAGTTCATATATAAGAGTGTCTTTTAAGGGGGCTCCGTCATTGATACTGGATCATTTAGCTCAGTGTGAGAAATTTGCCGTCATAACTTTTTCGTTTTTAACGCGATGGCTGCGAAACTTTGCAAAGAACAACAGATGTCATTCGGCAGTAGTAAGAAATATTCCGATTTCATTGATGGTATATACTTCTTGAGAAATTAGCGCTTAAAAGGACCCTACTGTTCAAAGAAAATCGCGTCTAGTAAACAATTTGGCGATATTTTTTACTGAAATTTCTGGTATTGGCTTTTATTGATATAACAAATTTTCCGGAGAAATTTCCGAAAAATCTTTGGAGCAGAAGTCCGTAACTTAAAGTCACTCAAAATTCAGCTGTGAAATTGTTTTGGAATTTCAAAAACAAATTACTATCAGGAAGAAGGAGCCACCAGTTCGAATTTTCGGGACAAGTAAATTCAATGTTTGCTAATATTCTGAAAACAAAAGTCGATTGCCTATCGTGCTATTCTTTAAAAGGTACTCTTTAGTTTTAGAAGCACTATAAATTGCTCCAAACCGTGCTCTGACGTCGAATGACTTGTTCCTCGACATTTTAAAATACTCTTTGGCATTGGTTCAAACTCCTGCTACGTACATTTTGATGTATTGCAATGCATCCTCAACGGCTCTTCCTGCTGTACGTTGCTTCCCATTCAGGGAAAAGGTATTGGGAATGTTGTTCTAAATAAAAATGTTTTTAGGGTTTGAAAATCTTTTTTGCTCGCAGATGTGCCTTGATAGTTTTATATTGAAAGTTACTGTACGACTTTACCTCTTTTGCTTTGGCCTTAAAATTACAATTTGTTTGATGTGGAGCATGCGTGATGCGATCACCAGCAGAAAAATTTTAGGGCTTTTTTTGAAACTTACTTAGTATCAACTTCCGTCTTACACATTTCTGATAGATTTTTTATTAACTATTTTATATGCCCCCAACATGAAGACGGTTACCTGACAATTAATTTTTTCGTTGGCAGGACTGGATAGCTTTTGAAGAACTTCATGGACCTCTTTTCAGAGAGCATGGTGCTATTTACTTTTCTAATGTGAACAAGCCATCTAAGGATATGAACTATGCTTTTTGTGAGGTATGTTCTCTCTTATCTCCACTGGAATGACCTTTTCTCCAACCGAACTCCCCTCAATTCAGGGACTCGCTTACTAAATTGCACCTACCATCATTCGAATGCGTTCTGCTTGCGGTTTCCAGTCATCCTCTCTGTTATCTTGGAGATACACAGGGAGGTGATTCCCATGTTCAACGCCAAGACCGGCTTTGTATTGAAATAACAAAATTGTTATTCTCCTACAGCTGGGATGTCTTAAATTTCCTGTCTGCTATGAAATGTTACTTTTAATGTTATTTTTAACACTAGCCTTGATTAATGCTTCAATTTTCGCTTTCTCACTTGTTTTTCTTTTCTTTTGTAAGGATGTTGTCTTCAAAAAGCATTACAATGATTCTCCTGAAGTGCTGGTGTGTGCAAACCATACAACTAGCGGAGGAAACCTCAATCCATTGTACAACTCCATATCAGCTTGGGCTGAGGTTAGAAGTTATCTTTAAATGAAAGAGCGATTTTTCAATCAATAAGCGTTATAAATTTTCATTTTATTTTTTTCTAAACAAGGTCTTTACATAAGTGCGTCGGGGTGTAGGAAGTGAGTCGTGTGAGTTTATGAATAAGTTGCCTCCCTTGCTTCCCCTCTGCTATGGGGTTGTAGTATGATAGCAACAGGTGTCAATAAAACGCGGAAGCGTAGACGGGGTCCATTGTTTTTCGTACCTGTTTTCTTTCGTTTTCTCCTAAACAAAACAGAAAACGAAACAAAAACTAAAACAAACCAGCAAACGGAAAGACAGTGGAACCCGCCCCCAATGGCGAATTGGCGTTTTACTGACTATTTATACTATAGGGCTTAGCGGATGTCAATACGAGCGTTTTTGACTCTGGCCGACAGTGAAGCGACAGCTTTTAGCAGCCAGTTGTCTCTGATTACTACGTCTTTTCTCTGTCAGTACATAAACAAGACCGGTTTTAGAGCCTGCGTGAAAGAGCTGTTTGTACAATAACATGATCCTCTGTCAGTATCATATGCAGTCTTACCAGGTAAGAAAGCTTTGAAATACGGCCATGATGTCACTAGGTACTAGCTGCTACTAAAAACTGATTATATATTGAAACTATCTTCAATGCAGTCCATCCTGAATGGGTTATAGCATGACAAGTAGATCTTCAATGTAGTCGAGCAGAAGGGTGATCGTTTCTTTTCTTAATATTTTCCTTTATCATTTTTTTTGGCTTATAACCACTGCAAACTTCCTTGTTTTTGTGCGAGTACTCAGTATATTTGGTCGTTTCTTGAGAGCTGGAGAGAAGACTTATCTCTAAACTTATTGCAATTCATTTCTGTGTTCTAAAGATGTCTGTCCACCCGGATGGAGCTTCTACAATGGTTCCTGTTACTTTACAAGTGAAAGTGAAACACGGACCAACGCAAGTTTAATCTGCCGCCCCATGGGAGCTAATCTACCTGCCATTGAAAGCCAAGAAGAAAATGTCTATATTCAGCACAGACACAATGGTGATAAGGCGTGGATTGGTTTGAATGATATTGCCACTGAAGGAGTATTCCCCTGGGTGGATCGATGGCTGTCCTTTTAAATTTCGCTACTGGGCTCAGAATCAACCAAACAACTTTAAAGGGGAAGACTGTGTTCACACCCTTGGACCCGAGCATGGATACATGTGGAATGATGTGGATTGTTCTACTTGCCACCAATATACTTGCAAGAAAGGTATGTGAAATATTTTTTAAGCACGAATGCCAGTTGCTTACAAACGTCTTTTGGTGCACGGCGATTGGAAAATTTAACCCTTTTCAATAATGGTTCTTTATTCTAGCAGAGGTTTCGCACAATCGTGTAAATTTTCCCCAATCTCTGATTTGGAAATGTAAAATGAGATGTTAATCCCTGTTTTCCTATTAAATATGTCGGTTAGCCTTCTGCAAAAGTTAGCCCAAAAATGCTTGAATGCCTTTCTGCAAGCAAGTTCCCAGTAGCTGTATGTACAAGGATAATTTACGTGCATGTCAGATGTATTTTGTTGCTCACAGGAGACACTTTCTGTGAAGTGTCGTATTATGGACAGTAAAGATCCCATTCTCCTCCGACCTACTAAAAGCTAGGATCTTGACCAGTCATATTAACAATGGCCAGTTTACCACTTTCGACTGGCCGGGCACATTAGGCTAGCCACTAAGAAAACTGTTGTCAATCAAAACGCCATACTCTCCTACAAATAGTGACATTAGTTTATACACGTTCCTTTTATACGTGCTGTGGTTCAGGGGCACCCAACGAGGATACAGTTCAAAACCACTTAACATAGTATTGTTGATCGTGTTTTAGTATTCAAAAGGTAGATATAGGCATATTTTCATCCCCTAAAAACTTTTCAGCTGTTCGGATTTCCTAGCTGAAAGTCTAGTGATCCGAAAATTATAGGGACAAAAACTTACCTTCTCGAAAACTTCAGCCAGGAAAAGGCTCCCGAAAATTCTAGGTGGCCTTTTTTAGGGTCAAAATCCGTTAAAAATGGGTAATTATACCATTTTGTACATGTTCGAAAATCCTAGGAGAGGCAGGCAAGCAAGAAATTTTGCAACAAATGTTCCGAAAATTCTAGATGTCAAATCGTATTCCGAACAGATATTTTCCGAAAATTGTCGTTGGGTGCCCCTGTGTGGTTTACAACTGATTTCACGCAACTTAGCATAGATTTGCCTGCTCCGTTATCTTTATCATGTGTATTAGAGTCTATTTCACTGAAAGGCACTCGACTTCAAAACGTATACGATTCATTCATTAATAACTTCTGGACAATAACCTGCGGCGGATGGGCTCTTATCATTGAACCTATAATATAAACATTATTTGTCATATTTAAACTAGATTATGACGAATGTACCAGTAGCCCGTGTTTGAATGGTGGGACCTGTGTAAACGGAAACAGAAACTTCAGCTGTATATCTGCCCTCGAACACACAAGGGGAGGAATTGTGAAGGTTGGTTGAATAGCATACACTGTATATTCAAATGAATTAGTTCATTAGAGCACATTCCACATCTTCATCATAAAGAGTGCGCCTTCAGAAATTAGTTAGCCTGCGAAAACACCCGTTTCTCCTCGCTCTTCGCCGATGGGGGCGTTTCGCGCCGAGGAACGACGTTCCTTCTCGCGAAACGTCCCCGGCGGCGAAGAGCGAGGAGAAACGGATGTTTTCGCAGGAAAAAAAATAGTTTATATCCGTTGAAACTTTTGTATGATGGGTATAATATGTTTAATTACGTCCATGATTTATTTAAGTGATTAAGGTTGCGGGGGATACCTTGGGCTCATTGTTACGCATTTGTTTAAGGTCTACGGTACGAAGTGACAAGAACTTGCATCGACAAATTTTCCGTAAAATGTTATCTAAATCGCCTCTTAAGAGGCCCTGCACCTAAGAAACGACCGATGATTTCCGGCTAAAAAATAAAATCGGCTGATTTTTATCTCCCAAGTAAAGGTTACCGAATACTATTCAAAAATGAATTTCTTTTGTTTCAGTTTCGCTTTAAACCAAAAATATCGAGCCGCAAACTTTTTCCGTCTAATAGCAGCAAAATCAGGCCTAAAATCAACCCTCGCAAAAAACGGCTCAGAAATCACTATCGCACGCAAAATAGCGAGAAAACCACACAGTGATGAAGAAAAAGGCCTTTTAATGCAATATCATTCGATAAACATCGAAAAACTGCCGAAGGGAATAAAAATTAAATTTTCAAATATTGCATATTAAATTAGATGGAGTGTTGAAGCTGATTTTAAAATAATAATTTCTCAAAAGTCCAACGCTGCTGAAAGCAATCACAGTGATGAATCAGACATTGGAGGGATATACATTACGATTCTGGAAAAACATTTTTCGGCCAAAGCATATTGACGTTGTACAAAGCGTTCAAAGTTGCAGTGTTTACCGTTATCTTGCTACTTGGGCGAAACACTTCTCTGTTGCCAATACGGCCGTGGATAGCGTGGTAAACGCCACTTTAATCCTTGCTAGGCGCTCAGAGACCATCCTAAGTAGAAGGACGTAGAATTAAAAGAGAAAGGAAGATGAAAAATAGGCAGAAGAAGAAAAGAACTCGAAATTACCATCTGCTGACGAAACTTGAATCTGGAAAATGTCGTCGCGTGACAGCGGCCAATGACGTCATTTGTCTAAACTGCGGCGGAATCTAAACGAATGCACAACTTTTTCCCGGCCAGAAAGCACTTAGGGCCTGTTTACATGGAGGTGGGGGACCCCAGGTAGGTGAGGTAACCCGCTTAGGTGGGGTAACCCGCCTGTCCATATAATCTCTCATTTTAATTTGATCACGTTTACATGATAGGTGGGGTGACCCGCCAAGGCGGGTAGCCCGGTCTACCAGACCGGGTTACCCTCTCAGCCGGGGTCACAATTTGTCATGTAAACGTTTCAAGGTGGGGTAACCCGCCTGGCCGGGGTCGGATTCGTGATACATCAAATTCGCGCAAAATTCACTTTCGCGGTGTCTTTGCATTATGATTAAAGTTAACAATAGAAAGCTATTGCACTGACGGGTTGCAGCAAGAGCAACAAGTGAGTGAAGAAGTGCATTTATCGCCAAAACTCGTGGTTTGCCAGCATTTTTCTTGTTTACGTGCTTAGCGACCATTCAATAATCTTGAGAAAGTGCACCCCGCAAAGGCGGGGTTGTAAGATTGCATGTAAAGGAGGGTTATTTTTTTTACCTCACCTAAGCAGGTTACCTCACCTACCTGGGGTCCCCCACCTCCATGTAAACAGGCCCTTAGTGAAACAATGTTACAGTAATGTTTTTTTTTCACAAGCGATGGTGACTTAAAAAGAAAAAATTCCCGAACCGCCGCACCGTTTTTGCCTCAGCGTGATCTGATCGTTGTGGGATCACGAGTCGACGCTTCTGGTCAGCGGTCTATTGAAAGAAATCTGATCCCATATTTTTTTTCCGGCTAGAATCATTCATGTCAATGTCCAAGGTCTTCCTTCAAGGAAAAAAGGAGAGAGATATTGGAGTACTGTTGCTCCCGAGAACGAGGAACATCTTGGTCCCAAAAACTGAGTCCATTACGCCCAAGAATTACGGTTTTTTTTTCTCAAAGGACTATTATCTGGCGCTTTAAACTGTAGCTAACAGATTCAATTCTTGGCACAATGATTAGCCTCGCGTTTAGTATTTTCTTGGACATGAAAATATCGCGGGTGACGCTATTCGGTGGAATGGCGGACTGACGGAATGACGGAACGGAATGATGGAATACAGGGAATATTCTAAAATACGGAATATACGGAATACTCTAAAACGCAGAATAAGAGAAAAATCGTTTAAAAAGGGTATACATGTATACAGTCGACTCCAATAACTCGAACCCTCGCTACTGACTCGAACCTCGTGCTGACTCGAAGTAATACTAATTTTTGTTTCTCTTCAGATCATTTCTATATAATTTTACCCTCATTAACTCGAACCTTGTTTTTAGCGCGTGACAAGTAAAAGAATTGGCTTACCGTAATGATTCGATTTAGCGCCCACGCGCTTATTTACTTTTGGTGCCTCTAGGGAGGACGCTTATTCGGGACAGGGCGCTTATTTGTTTTTTGAGAAACAGCCAAATGTTAAAAAAAGAACTTTGATATTTATTTAAAAACGAACAACATTTGAAACTGTAGCAGTAACAAATACTGACGGTGAATGCTCAGTTAACGCGAGGGACTTACCTTGAAACTTGTTGGGCACTTTGTCGATGGAACTTTCCTTCCTTATATTCACCTTTCTTAAAAAAGCTCGCAGTCAAAACAAAGTGCAAGTCGATTAAGGTAATGGATCAAGAAGACTGGAAAACGGGCTTGTTGTCCCTGGATCCTTCCTCGCCAGAACGACCAGCCGAGCAATCTCCACAAAATTTGAAGAAGAGATCATTCCTTTGAAGACTTTGAAGACTCTGGAAAATCTAAAGCAAGCGACCGGACAAATTTAGGCACAGGTGCGGCCCCCATTAATTGGTAGTACAATCCTGTCAAGCTTAAGTTTACAATTCTTTTGTTTTAGAACAGCCGTTTTATGAAAGTTATCCGACATTAGATTCCCGTGATACCGGACCCTTCACCCGTCAAGATGGCTTTCAAAACCGTCATAAGGTCTATAGTGTGGCTTACGGCAGTACGAAAATTGAATTTTTAATATTGCCTCTGCTTTTTCGTCAGTCCAGTTCAAATCAAATACAGAATATTCTGTAAATTCCGTGTTTTAGAGTATTACGTATATTCCGTATTTTACAACTGATTGCATGTATTCCGCCATTCCGCCGAATAGGGTCACCCAAATATTGGGGAGGACATCATAAAAAAATATAGGAGACCGGTAGGACTTTTAAATCGATGAAAGTGCCTCACAAATTTTGCAACTTCATTTTATAATATGCTTCATAATTTGTTTCCTCAATAATATTTATGATATTTAGATGATAACCAATGCACAACGCACAACTTGTCACATTACCGATTGGACAGCATACCATGCACTCAAACTCTTGCGCAGGAAAGTTACAGTATGAAATTATTTTTTGCTGCACTCAGTCACATTCACGGCTTTACACTGAAACCTTGGCTAAAAGGTCTCTTTTTAGATCTGTAGATTTGTAAGGTATTTCGAAATAACCGCACATGTCTTTCAACACTAACATTGAAAGATGAAAGTTTGTTGCAGTGATAATTATAACAAAGATTGTAAACATCAAACATAATTGGATGTTTTAAGCCCAAATATTATATCACCTCTTCAACAGCATGGAGGGAGAAATGGGCGCTTACGCCTTTTTGCAAGCGGTATTTCGGTAATTTGGATTTTAAAGTGGGGTATTGCGGTATCATTTATATTTAGCCCTGTGGTATGCGGTATTTCTTCCTTTTGGTTAACGGTATTCGGTAACAGAAGATCACGGTATTGCGGTACTGTTCATTGCCCTCTCCTGTTTAATGCTAGCCTGCGTAGCAGGCACGGTTTAGATGACCCCTCCCTCGCGCGCGCTCGTTCTCTCTCGCGCCCACTACTTCCAAGCGCCTGCTACGCAGTCTAGTTTAATGAACGTCGGTATTTTTAAGACTTTAGATTAATGGTAAATGATTACCATTACACAATTTCTGACAGATAATCTGTGATGAAATTGGTAGGGTATCTTTTTCGTTCGTTGTACCGATCAATTCGAGGTCGTCTCACGTTTCCTCGCAAAATTAAATCAAATTGATTAAATACCGCAATACCGTGAGAAAAACTGGTAAATACCGAAATACCGTGTCAAAAATCGACGAAATACCGATACCGCATTTATTTTCGGTATTGGGTACCTACCAATGTCCCCCCTAACATGGCGCAACTTCGTCACCTTTCTTCAGGTCCGCTGACCCCTACACGCGCTGACCCGTAACGTCCGTTGGAATGTATGTAACGAAATACAAGCAACCCACATTCAAAGTACTTGGAGACTAGCTGAGGCTGAATTCATCATCATTAATAGGAAAAACATCAAACTGTCTCATTCACGATTTCTGGTGATAAAAAGACTGTATTTTTTTAAACTTATATTTCACGTATTTGTTTGGATTCCGCTGCAGTTCGGACAAATGAACGCTGTCACGCGACAACATTTCCAAGATTCAATTCTCCTTAGCAGATGGTAATTTCGAGTTATTCTCTTTTTCTGCGAATCTTTCATTTTCCTTTCTCTTTAAATTCTATATACTTCTATTTAGGATGGTTTTGAGCGCCTAGCAAGGCTTAAAGTGGCGTTTACCACGCTATCCTTGGCCATATTGGCAACAGAGAAGTGTTTCGCCGAAGTGGCAACTTAACGGTAAATACGGTAACTTTGAACGGTTTTTACAACGTCAGTATACTTTGGCCGAAAAATGTTTTTCCGAAAACGTGATGTATATCCCTCCAATGTCTCATTCATCACTGTGATTGCTTTCAGCAGCGTTGGACTTTCGAGAAATTATTATTTTAAAATCAGCTCCAACGCTCCATCTAATTTAATATGTCATATTTGAAAATTTATTTTTTATTCCCTTCGGCAGTTTTTCGGTGTTTATCAAATGATATTGCATTAAAAGGCCTTTTTCTTCATCACTATGTGGTTTTCTCGTTGTTTTGCGTCGCGATAGTGATTTCTGAACCGTTTTTTGCGAGAGCTTATTTTAGGCCTAATTTTGCTGCTATCAGATGGAAAAAGTTTGCGGCTCCATATTTTTGGTTTAAAGCGAAACTGAAACAAAAGAAATTCATTTTTGAATAGTATTCGGTAACCTCTACCTGGGAGATAAAAATCGGCCGATTTTATTTTTTAGCCGGAAATCATCGGTCGTTTCTTAGGCGCAGGGCCTCTTAAACAGCCGAGATATAAGCGTTTTTAAAATCGATATAGCAGAAGCAAAATTTTACCCCATAAATTTATTCGTGAATAGGTGTCACCCGCGGCCTGTACTACAGTCTCCTGCAGTGCTAGCTCGTAGAGTCGGAAAGTCAATTTTGAGACTCTTGAAGGGGTCGTGACTAAACTCCCTTAACTTTTAAAGTTCTAACCATGTGGTTGCCCCTGTTACCCAACTGCAACTTAACCTTGTAATCCATAATTAAAAGTAATGTCCCTTTGCAGGCACTTAATGTTACCTAGCTAATGTTTTAGAGGTTAATAGTTAATCTTTATTCTCCGTGAAGACCTGCACGAACTTTATTTCTTGGACATTTCATTGTTCTCTAAGCTGTCGAGTAAGTGTTCAGTCCCAAATCTTCTCGTCCCCTTAACATCAATAATTTTTCCGCTCTTCAAAACATATCACAGTCCAAGCTCATTGACAGAGTGTATATGTACCGCACGGTACGAAGTAGGAAATTGAAAATGAAATATTTATGCTGCAGTTAATTTTTATTTTGCCTTTGTTTCAAATTCTTTAGCATACATTAATTTCCCCCTAAAGCAAAGAAAAACAAAAATTAACTGAAATGAAAAATTAACTGCATCATTACGTCTGCCTAATCTCGTCAGTCTGAAGAAACTTGGCAAAGCTCCACTATAGAAGGCTCACGTCCTAAAGTAGAATGAGTTACAATATCTATTAATATTAAAGGATTAAGAAATGACTAACATTCTTTCATTGTTATTTTTGAAGATCAATGTAAGGTTATGTTACCAGAATTTGGACAGATGGCCTTGCACAATTCTATCACAATTTTAATATATTATATATGTCACCTTGTCGATCAAGTTCTATATTCTCAACACTACTTTCAATCTGATCAGAATGCGGTTTTCACTTTTTACTCCCTCATTATTTTACTTGCGGTTTGTTAAAATGTTATATTCTCTTAAAATTTTACCCGGAAACAGTAGATGAGAATATTTTTCTTGATCAACTGAATCGATACAGCCTTTTAATGGAAAACGAAGCGAGAATTCGTCAGAGGTATCGACGATACCCCAAGAGCACAAGTGAAGCGCCCCGCCGCTGCATCTTCCTCTGCGATGATGGAGGCGTTCCTCGGTGCACGGATAGTGGTGACGACTTTGATTTTGTGTACAGCATCGTTTCTAGCTGAAGGTAAGATTTATACCGTTCCATCTTTATGAGTTTATTCTAGAATACGGTAAAGAAACAGACTCGAGTTACTTGAGATTTTTAGGGGTGGGGTGGGGGACTTTAAAACAGTTTTCAACTCGAGATAAAACTTGGCACTGAATATTAATGAAGCTAACCAACCGTAGCACTATATTTTACCTTATTTTTACCAGACACGATTTACATCCTCAGTTTGAACTTTTGAGGTTGATGTTCCCTCCTTCTCTTTGACTGTAGTATGCAAGGGCCATTAAGCGGTTTAGTTTACGCGTACTCGTATATCCCCTGTGACATTGCTGAATGCTTTGTCAATTTTCTTAAAACTTTACGGACCGCAAACGTTCCGTCTTGATGAAAAAAGTCATTTGGAACCAATCAGAGTGGCCAGTTTACAGAAAATAGCTTTTCACCAAACAGAATCGAAATGAACCGTCATTCCACCTGTCTGATTGTTCCATGACCTAATGGCTCTAAAATGTTCTTTTCAGGACAAAGTCTTCTGCAGCATGGAGCGGTTAATTTCACCGTTGTATCTCCAAGCCTACTCCACTGCAGAACCGTGCGATACCCTCAAGCATTTTCCAGCTCCAGTAACATCCGTGTTCTCGCATCCATCAGCCATGAAAACGAATCGCTAAGTGTGCACGATTCAGCAGTTGTTTGGACTACAGATGTGACACAGAACAGCTTCCGCATTTGCGTGCTAGAGTCAGGCCTTGGTACAAATGGATCCGCTGTAGTGAACTGGATTGCGTTTCGTGGCACGCCCTCTGGCGCCCTCGACGGCGCCGCCTCCTTCAACGCGTTCACCAGCGGAACAAAATGTGACAGAGTTGACTTTGCTCAGGTATGGTTTCGATGCCGCGTTGTTTTCTTTTTAAGCGTTCGCAAATTATTTGTAAAAGCCAAGAGGAGGTCTTAGAACTGATGAAATTTTCCAGATAGTTAGCTACATTGTGTGTGGAGCCGGGATGCTTTCTCCCTACCCGTATTAGTAGAGACAATTATTGGGATGGTTGCTAGGGGGAAGTTAAGTACTCACTTGGGTAGTTAATTGAATTTGAATAGCGAAATGTCACCGCATTGTTCCCCTCTCAGTTATACTTAAGGAGTTAATGCTACTCGAGTGACTTTGAAACAAATGTTTATTTAACGCCCAGTTACAAAAACAATGGGGGTAAATTACCATTGTGGATTATGTCTATTCTTGACCACCAAGAATTATTGCGTTTTGAGCGATTAAGTTAGAAAGAACCGACGTTTAAAACTTTTGTTAAAATAATATTTACCATTGACTGTCAATTCCATAGTTTCTTTGAGGGAAGGGATAAACTGCCCACCTACCACTCCCATAACCCAACGTTAACAATAACTTCTAAATAAGTCAAAATGTTTGGTTAGGGGAGGGGTAGGCAGGCACTCCTAGTTCTTAGAATCCTATACTGATCCAAGGGTGCGCTGGGTACTACTATGATGTAATCGACATGCCACGAGCATGGGACAATGAAAAAATTTGAGTTCACGACAGGAATTGAATCTATGCCCTTCCGTACACCGGTCGGATGTTCTAACCACTGAGCTACGAAGGACTCGTGACGAGCTAGACCATATTAATACAAGGTTCATGTATGACATGAGTCCTGCATACTGCTAAGGATCAGCGATGTCGAATTCGTTAGGAGTGTGATAAATAAAGAAAGATGGTAAATTCTAAGCTCGGTGAAGAAATGACAAATGATTTAACAACATGTCACGCGCATGGAACAAGGAAAAAATCTGATTCTGACAGGAATTGAACCTATGACTTCCCGTTCACCGTTCGGATGCTTTAACCACTGAGCTATTTGTATGCAGTAAACTGCTGCTTATAAGTGGGGCTAGTTATACATCTTCGTAAGGGGTTTTAGGATCGCTAATGGGGCCTATAACCGGTATAGGAAAAAACTCTTCGAAACAAGCTATAGCAGTGCTGATTAAAATTCGTTTTCGTTTTGTATTAACTGGGTTTTAATTAAGCGTCAAACGTAATAGTTGCAGGGAAGATGGGGTCCTATTTGTTTTTTTTTTACTAGACTTGCCCAAAGTTATACGCGGTTCTTCGCGAGTTTTCTCAAACTTTTCGTGTTTCATTTGGTATTCGCATCTCGGCCTTTGTTCTTATTTCTACCATGAAGTCCGTAGTTTGATAATTAAATTAAATCATGATGCACTCGTGACAGGTGTTTGTACATGTTAATGTAAAAATATTGTAAAATAATCTTAATCACCCGAAACAGTAGATTCAGTGATATCCATTTTGTCTTTCAGAGGTTTCCTTCTGTCCCAAAAGTGTTGGCCACTACACGTCACACTAGTATCAGCAGGCCACAGGACGCCATGAATATGTGGATAGAAGAGTTACAGGAAGACCACTTTAGAGTCTGCCTGCGGGAAGTCAAAACATTTGACGGAAAGCACCAAAATATTCAAGTGGTAAGTTGGTCTGTTACATGAGTTTTAATTGCCGCATACTCTTAAATATGGTTGTGAGTAATAATTTGCGCACGACCTCAGTGGCTGGATACACTTAAATTAGGATTATCAAAACACAGTATGAGTTTCTGTCTTTTTCATTTGCGTCTTAACCCTGGGACGTACAAGGGGGGCATCCACCTCCCATAAGGTTTTTCTGAGTTTTTTCCTAGAGGATAAAACATCAGTACCTGACGTTTTCATTAGCTGTTCATTTATCCCTTGCGCACATTTTGAGACAAGTTGAGTGATGGTCAGTTGCTATGGTTACGAGATACGACGTCATAAGTAGCAGGTGGTCAAGCCAATTTTGGGTGAAAATACATGTTTTTTCAACCTCTTTCAACAATAAAAGTAAATCTTGTGGCTATAATCATGCAAAGTGCTTTTTTATGTATTATTTTTCATGTAAAGCACAAAAAATTACCATTTCTCGCGGTTTAACCTGATTTCCAATTCTTGGTAGAATCCAAGATGGCGGCCAAAATAGCGACCATTGTTGATGACGTCACAGGTCTCTAGCAGCGCCAACACCGCTATACCTCATCTTGTTAAGAAGATCAAAGGCTTTCCACTAGAGATAAAATCGTTTCGAAATACTGCAAAATATCGAAAACTCCTGGGAGGGGTTCCGTCCACCCCCTCCCTCTTGTACCACGGTGGGGGTATGAATTGGCGTGTACGTCCTAGGGTTAAGAAGTAATAAGTAAGCTGATAGTAAAATGAAATATCGGACCGGTCATCAAAGGTTATCAAAAAAAGAAAAAGCGTCAATGACCTTCTGATTCCTTTTGTTAAAATTTCACTATCCGTTGGAATTATTAACTCCGTCAGTTTGACAATTACAGTATCTTCTCTATGCAACAAATATTAAATTAGCAACTGACTGCAACAAGTTGTTTTGTTTACTAGGACTGGTTGGCCTTTACGCAGGGAACTGGTGAGATGACATTTCATGGAAAACTTCAGTTTGAAAACGGTGGGGCTCCACTGGAACGAGACAACTTCGCTTTCTGCAAGGTAATGACAAATTTGGTAGTAGGGCGTGAGAAAGGTTGATATTTGGCCTTTTTCTAGCAACTTGTTTGCGTCGCAAAGGGTAGAGCTTTGCCATGATGAACTTGGTGATAAATCAAAGGACTCATTCCGCTTCAGAATTTTTGTTGCAATTATTATGTCCTGTGTTGCCTTAAACATGTGTAGCAAATGTAAAACGTTCCTTCTCGTTTCTCGTCTCTCTTCCCTGTCCCCTCCCTGTTATAATGTATGCTAACTTTGCTTCTTTTCCCTCCTTCACAGGTTCTTAACTATACCGAGGCGTTTTATGCACCTCCCGTTGTTATGGTTACAGTCAGTCATCTTTACGACAGCAATAACGTGTATTCTGTTAAGCCGGAGAACAATATTCTAAACGTTTGGATAGAGGTAAGATAGCAATAACCTTGCGAGGCCCCTAGGCCTCAGTATTTCACCGGGCCTATGCTGTTGCTACGTGATCCGAGCTCCGCTATGTCACTGAAATGCATTTACTGTGAAGGACTTGGAATGCACTAAGCAAGCAATATCTTTGAGAGACATTCGCACGATTAGTCGCAACTTGACTATGAATAAATTTCTAGATTAAATCAGGCATCTAATAGCTTGATTCCTGACTGCTTTTATAGTTTATTTACCTGAATAAGTTTTTACAATTTGCTACTACAGGAAATAACGATTTCATCTTTTCGCGTATGCGTTAAGGACTTGGCAGGAATGGAAAGCCAACATGATCCAGTTACTGTTCATTACGCAGTCATTGGAGGTAAATATTCTAGTCAGAACTAAGATGCAGCGTAGCATTCGCCTGTTCCTAAGTATTTTTTTCATCTCGTTGCTCCTTTGAAACTACTGCCAAGGATGGTCGAAAGAAGGCTAAAATAATACTTTCATTTAGTGCTCTCACATGTTAACGCGCGAAAAACGAAGAGTAAGAGAAGAAAATTATATTTTTTTTCATACTCGAAGAGCAGACTAAGATGATTTAGAACTTATAGATATTTGCATTTTTAGCAATTGTTTAGTTCAACTGTAGAAACAGTTAACAAATCAAGCGAGACATAAAATTATCAATAATGATAATAGTAATAATATTTATTCCTTTTATTACGCATTATAACATTAAAAAATATGATCAAATGCGCATAACACTCTATTAAGGCTAAAAAAAGTTATATTACATACTCTCTATATTCTAAAGCTTAATCATTTGTTATATTTCCTTCCTAATGGGTAATTCAGCATAACTCATACCAAGTAAGAAGTGAAAAGAGAAGATAAAAGTAGAAAATAAAAACCTACGATCGCTAAAGACAGGTCGCTATAGGCCTCTTTAAAATAATGCGTCTTAATGAGTCTCTTAAACTTATCAAAATCATTCTCTTTCTTAATATAGTCCGGTAAACCGTTCCATTTCTTTGGAGCAGCTGCAGGAAATGATCTGTCCCCAAGAGTGCATTTGAACTTAGCGGTAGGGTCTTGCAAAATAACGCCCACATTATCAAATAAATAATGATAAAAAAAAACATCAATTAATAAGAGAACTTACATTTGATTTGGTCAAGATTTTTCATTTTAAATTGTTGTGCGTATCATTTGTTAACAGATCTTGACCCGTGCATCAATGTTTCCTGCAAGTACTTTGCAGTATGCAAGGCGTTTGGTCCCAGGGACGCGCGGTGTATTTGCGTGGATAACTGTCCATCATTCGAGGAGCCTGTGTGTTCCTCCAATGGAACTACATACGATAACGAGTGTGTGTTCCAGCGAGAAATGTGCCATCTCCGGGCAAACTTCACTGTCTATCATCCAGGAGATTGTACAGGTAATTTTGCTTGTGAGTCATTATATTTTGTTGCATTCTTTAGATAAGTAAGTTCTTCAATGTTTACTGGCCCCCTGCGGTGTGAAAAATCTCATAGTTGAATAAACCTCCTCATGATTTTGACTCGTGAGTAACGTTTGATGTTACCAACAAGGCAGTGTTTAAATACGCTGACGTACCTTCTCAAAAATTTGGTTCCAATTTCCTTTTAAATTCAATCTTGATGAAAGCTTAGTTAATAGAGGCTTTATAGTTTCTAGTTGCCAAGCTCTGCTGTCTTCTTTGTGGCTTAAATTCAATTCAGTCTTGGCTGGACATTTTTTAACCAAACAGTCTTACAAGTTTTTGTTGTTGTTGTTGTTGTTATTGTTTGTTTTCAGGATTCCCTTCCCAAAAAGGCCGTCATCGCCTCAGTCACAACCCAGTCTGGGCTGAAGCAGTTTGCGAACAAGTTCCACTGGAACCTTACGTCTTTTATCCTGATAAACCGGTTCAAATACAGGTTTCTGTCAATCACGTGAACTTCTCAGACCCAGCCTATGTTCACGAGGCAGTGGTTGCTTGGGTTGAAGACATCATGGGGAACAATTTCACAGTGTGTGTCACACAGGCTGGTAGAAACGAGAAGAGAAATGGAGAAACGTTTGCCACAGTGGACTGGCTGGCATACCAGGGAGCCCCTGACGGGGGAGTGTCGGGTGAAATGGACATGCCAACCTGGTGGACTGGGACGAGCTGTCGTACAGTGTCTCTACCCTCGGTGAGTTCAATTTGCAGTATTCTCAAGTTCATATATAAGAGTGTCTTTTAAGGTGGCTCCGTCATTGATACTGGATCATTTAGCTCTGTGTGACAAATTTTCCGTCATAACTTTTTCGTTTTTAACGCGATGGCTGCGAAACTTTGCAAAGAACAACAGATGTCATTCGGCAATAGTAAGAAATATTCCGATTTCATTGATGGTAAATATTTCTTGAGAAATAAGCGCTTAAAAGGACCCTACTGTTCAAAGAAAATCGCGTCTAGTAAACAATTTGGTGATATTTTTTACTGAAATTTCTGGTATTGGCTTTTATTGATACAACTAATTTTCCGGAGAAATTTCCGAAAAATCGTTGGAGCAGAAGTCCGCTACTAAAAGTCACTCAAAATTCAGCTGTGAAATTGTTTTGGAATTTCAAAAATAAATTACTATCAGGAAGAAGGAGCCACCAGTCCGAATTTTCAGGACAAGTAAATTCAATGTTTGCTAATTCTGAAACAAAAGTCGGTTGCCTATCGTGCTATTCTTTGAAAGGTACTTTTTAGTTTTAGAAGGACTATAAATTGCTCCAAACCTTGCTCTGACGTCGAATGACTTGTTCCTCGACATTTTAAAATACTCTTTGGCAGTTTTGGTTCAAACTCCTGCTACGTACATTTTGATGTATTGCAATGCATCCTCAACGGCTCTTCCTGCTGTACGTTGCTTCCAATTCAGGGAAAAGGTATTGGGATTGTAAGCTACCTTGTATTGAAGCTCAGATAGAACTGTCCAGCACCTTTGTTTATGAGTAGAAAATGAGTACGAGCGGCAGCTCTGCGAGGATATTCGCACCTCAGCCGGGGGGGACGAATGACGAACCGATCTGTGTAAACATGTATTGCAGAGCAAAACATAATAATCAAGAAAAAACTACCCATTCATTGAAGGAAGGAGTGACAAAAATTTCGGAGTTGTAAATTTATTCACGGGCAGTATTTTTGCGATAATTTTAGTTTGCACCGTGATATAATTCGGTTCACAGGCATGGACATCATTGTCGTTCGTTCCCCCTCGGTGAGGTGCGAATTCCAGCAGGACTGCTACTCATGCTCATTTTGTAGTCACAGACAAAGGTGCTGGACAGTTTTATCTGAGCTCTGATACAAGGTAGCGTCCAATCTCAATACCTTTTTCCTCGGAAGCAACGAACAGGAGTTAAAGGGACTGGTTCACGATAATGCGCATGTGTGAGTTCTGGCAGTAGCTGATTGTTTTTCAACCAATCGGAAGCGAGTTAGATGCACGCAAGTAAATTTACAAAATTCAAATTAATTGTTCGGGCATTTGGTTTGATTTTATTTATCTCCATAATTCAAGTTTGTTCTTTGCTACTCCTCAGATATATGTTGCAGCCGATAAGAATAAGATTTACAGCCCTGTCCTGCTTTGAAACAAACATTTACCAACGTGTATTTTTTCGAGGTCGTACCCACGCTAACAAAACAGTCACCGATCGGCAAACAAAATTTGTAAACAAACATCTTATTACTGTTCTCTCAGTTCGCCTTATATAAACCCAGAAATACCTACAAATAGCGCCTGACCGGTGACAAAAACACGCAACGTATGAGTGTAAAGATTATCGTTAATTGAACATAAATTTCAATTGCTTATCAGCGGGTGTTACTAAACAGAGTAACGCAGTAACGAGTAACGAGTAACGGAGTAACGAGAAAACGAGTAACGGGATAAAAATTCAAGAGGTTAAAAAAATAAATAAATAAATCCTAATGAAAGAAAAACATAAAAATATGGCTGTAATATCCCAATAATGACCTTTGCCAATCTCAAAAAATATGTGTATTCCAAAAAGTGCTTAAAACAACGACGTCAACCCCCTACCCCTCTCTCCAGCAAAGTCGAAGGTATTTGTCACCTGGCTACGGCTGTTGTTTGCAATTGAATATGCCTATCCAGCAGATAGAGTTAACAAAACGTTCCGTTTATCATTCACCCTAAAAGGTTATTTCCTACAGCCGGGGATCAGGAAGACTATTTTAAAAGTGCCGCGTTTCTAAACAATTGTCACAAATCATTGAATATGTACAACTGAAATGAGTAGTACCGTAAATCCTCTATTAAAGGGACTGGTTCACGATAATGCACATGCGCGCCGTTTGTCTCTTCAGAATAAATTTGTTGGGTCAACACCAAATTCGAAATCGCCATTACCGGTACAATCATTGAAAATCCTTCGTTTTATTCGGACATCCGTCGCTTTGGCTGGTCTAGTTATACTTCGGTAGTGGTGATTAACGTGTGGTTGTGTCGTTTGACTGGTTACGTTTTAAGAAGACGCAAAAAATAAGGTTTTTATCATGGAGGTTCAGAAGAGCATCGTGGCCGTCCGGCATCAGGACGTTCTCAAGAGTCTTTGGAGATAGAGAAGCTTAGCCTATCGATCTGGTATGGTTCTGGGAGTAGTGTGTGGCTTACGAAAAGTATATACGACACTTGGAAAGCGGTTAAAGGCATGAGTTTGTTCAACTTTGATTTGATTTTTGACTCCGACCTGTAGTTATACCGCAACAGGCCGCGCGATCTTCACCGATCTGGTACACTTGAAATGTTCCTTGTATCTTTGCTTTACGATCGTATATGTTTAAGAATTGATGTTTTTAAAATAAATTATTGCCTGATCATGAGTATTCTGTTTATAATCTAGTTTCTTTATGTGTGCTACTCGATAACATTTGTTTTGCGGAACACTGATCCGATGCAACGCGAATGAATTTGTTCATTTTCTGATAAGCAAAAAAAAATTTATGCTCAATTAAGGATAATCTTTATACTCATACGTTGTATGTTTTTGTCACCGGTCAGGTGCTATTTGTAGGTATTTCTGGATTTATATAAGGCGAACTGAGAGAACACTAATAAGATGTTTGTTTACAAAATTTGTTTGCCGATCGGTGACTGCTTTGTTAGTGTGGGTACGACCTCGTAAAAATACACGTTGGTAAATGTTTGTTTCAAAGCAGGACAGGGCTGTTAATCTTATTCTTATCGGCTGCCACATATATCTGAGGAGTAGCAAAGAATAAACTTGAATTATGGGGATAAATAAAATCAAACCAAATGCCCGGAAATACTCTCGCGTCGCGAACAATTAATTTGAATTTTGTAAATTTACTTGCATGCATCTAACTCGCTTCCGATTGGTTGAAAAACAATCAGCTACTGTCAGAACTCACACATGCGCATTATCGTGAACCAGTCCCTTTAAGCCCCCCCTCTCAAATAAGCCCCCTCCCTCTAATAAGCCCCCCCTCCTTTTCAGGGGAAGAAAGTTAATAAGCCCCCCCTCCCCTCCCCTATTTATTCTTCAGTAATAAATGATAGACTGTATCAATCAACCACGACTGTAAAACTTCGTGTGGAGTGATCCAGGATGGTTTAGTTACTAAGTGGAAGAGCGGATTTGATTCTGATCCTCAGCTGCATGACCTAAAACTTCTTGTACTTGAGCTTTTCCTTTTTGCAATCTAGTTCTTTATGGAGAACTGATACTATTGTCGTTTTTAAATTAAATAAGCCCCCATCTCAAATAAGCTCCCCGTCTCTATTAAGCCCCCCCCCCCCTCAAATGGGCTTGAAATAAATAAGCCCCCCCCGGGGGCTTAATAGATGATTTCCGGTACCCAGATAGTAGCATTAGTATCAACATCGCCATCTGCATCAATAACATTGTTTTCCGTATGATTTATAATTTGATCCCGCGGTATACGTTGTGCTTATTGAGATCATGAAGAAAAGAAAGTTTTTGCGACGCATTCTTTTTTAGACAAGGCATGGGACTACCCTAAGTTTTCAAGGTTTCGTTGTGAACGATTGTTATAACTAATGGATTAATTAAATTTTGTAAGAAGATTAAGGAAAGTACTTCTTATGCCAAATGCAGGTCCCTCTTCGTAGTCGCAGGATTGTAAAAAGATTTGCAAACTTTCTAAGTTTAGGAAAACACGTAGAAACCTCCGTGACAGTTGTTTTTGAATAGCGTGACAATCCATGCTGAAATAGTTGCTAATGATGTAATGGTCTAGAACTGGTAACGTAAAGGATCATGGGATTGTAAAACACGTGCGAGATCGAAGAAGACAAGAATGTCTGTAGAAAGTTGTTCCTGTTGATGTGATTAAACCAAAGAAAACGAGTCAGATAGTTATTTGATGTCTCGTGTTGGTATCTTAGCGTTCACGGAATCGAACAGTCCTAATACAAGAGATTGATCGTCAAAGCAAGTCTTGAAGAAGACACGATCATTCCTTTCCCGAGGGGATCATAAGTGGGAGAACACAGAAGTGGAAACGAGGGCTCTTCTACGATTTCAAAATACTATTAGTTGTTGTTATCTTAGCTCAGGCGTTTCATATAACACACCAATATTTATTTTTAAAGTTTGCCGAAACGTGACCAGAAGTGGAAAGCCTTGACAGAATTCAGCGGTGACAGGGGCGTAGCTGCCTGCCATCCCTTAAGCCCTGGCTTAACAAATTAAAATTTGGGTCACAATGAGTCCATGTAATTGCATGTTATCAGGGCGTGAAATTGCAACTAATACAAGCACCAACGTCTGTATGACCATCATGCAAAATGGCACATATTTCACTAGGAAACTATGTCGCTGGCGAACACCAAGTAGATATGTAGGGGTCCTCTTTGCTTACTTTGATTACCTGCTAGAATCGTTTGGGTTCAAAACTTGTCAATTTGGAGGATCTCAGCTCTAAAATAACATCTAGTAAACCGGCCGTTTTCTCCTTGTTTGTTCTATTTCTTCTTGTTTGTTTCGTTTATATTTTTTTTCTGGGGACTCAGGACTTATTCGACTTATGGAATTGGCTACCACTTTGAAATGTTAAGTAGCCAAGTGGATCCTACAAAAACGAGTTAATTTAATGCCCTGTCAGTAACAATGTTTCGGTTGTTCTGAATTTTTTTGATGTTAAACGTAACTTCGAGCAAACCAATCCATTTGAATGTTTCTTTACTTTACTTTAATTGAAAATCGATCTCAAAACCAGTCTCGCTCTGCACTCTATTTTGCCGTCAATATTCAAATTTCAGAATCATTATTTCATCGGGAGGTTATTTTTAAACATGATTTATAATTGCTTTTAAACCGGTAGAAAAGTTCACTATAATTAACTTTTGGAAGGTAGTATTAAGTCGAATCCCGTATTTTCGAGAGGAGTTAAAAGACTAGACATTAGCCAGACATTGAAAGTTGAGCAGGAAAGGTAATAACCCCGGGAGTAATAAACGAGCATACTGTTTCTAAGCCTTGGCAATCGAGTACATTTAATTGGTTAGTTGGTAACCGTAATAAGGGCCCAACAACGTTCTATTATTTTGATTTACCTGGCAGAGCTTTTTCTTCTAACAAATGAAATTATTTGTGACAGTTAGAAAGAAAATCTGTACTTCACCTTCCTCCATGCATGGTTGTTGCTCCTTGGTCTCCTCGTGGGTGTGAGAAAATAACCATTTGACCTACACTCATCCAAACCTCTTATTTCATTGGTTCTTGTAACCTGCACTACCTATTGTTTTCAGGGATAGGGGCAGGTGACTTTTTCGGCGCGAAAATACGTTCGACTTTGCTGGAGGGAGGGATGGGGGGTTGACGTAGTTGTTTTAAACACTTTTTGGAATACACATATTTTTCGAGATTGGTAAAGATCATTATTAGGTTATTACAACCATTATTACGTTTTTTTCTTTCATTAGGATTTATTTATTTATTTTTTTAATTTCTTGGATTTTTATCCCGTTACTCGTTTTCTGGTTACTCCGTTACTCGTTACTCTGTTTAGTAACACCCCTTATCAGCAAATGAACAAATTCATTCGCGTTGCATCGGGTCAGTGTTTCGCAAAACAAATGTTATCGAGTAGCACACATAAAGGAACTAGATTATAAACAGAATATTCAGGCAATAATTTATGTTAAAAACATCAATTCTTAAGAGCCATTTTCTGAGAAAATCGAGAATCGCAAGACACTCGTCCAAAAATCGAATTTTTTATTATTTTGCCAAAACATCCCTTTTAGTGACCTAATTTAAGGAAAAATAGTTTTGGGTTCAAACGATTCATTTTAAAGGAGAAATTAAAAAAAGTTTGAAAAATCGATTTTATTCCTGTTTTTCGAACAAAACACGGCAGGATGCAATGGCAACTTCGAGAGAAGGGTGAACGCGTAAGAAACATTCCCTCACACTGAAACTTCACCGAATTATTATTTTGTTCTTACTCTTGAAAACCTTAAAAGAAAATTTGAAAAACAATGTCTTATATTTTTATAATCGACAAGTGTAAAGAGGTCATATTTGTGACGTTGGACGTGCTAGAAAATGAAGGCCAACTTTGACTATTAAAAAAGGCCTCTGGTATATGCCGCTTGATCATAAAATCAATATAAAATGGAACCTTGGCATTTGTACTAACTTACTTGAAAGTTTTAGCTCTGGAAATCAAATACCATCCTGACACCAAAGCAAGCGGTGAGAGCAATTGAATTGGGAAATTTATGCAAATTAGACGGCTTGCGGACGGTTGTCAAACTAAAAGAAAGGTTTTACATGAAAGGATTACTCACCATTGCTTGTAACACGTTTTTACGGCAAGGAAAGTTATTTCCAACTTCTGTTGCGTCGGTTTGAGTCACAAAATCCATAATTTTAAGCCAAAAGGTCCAAAAGACAAACGTACGTTTGCTCAGCGACAGCGCCAGAATCCGGCCGTGAATCGAAATAAAGTCACAACACGTCACTGCGGTCCTTTAGAAGCAAGAGTTGCAAGAGTTTTTACTTCAGTCAGGAGGCCAAAAGATTGAAAATTCATCGCAAACTAATGACTTCGATTTTGAAAACCTTTCATCACGTCGATCGTTTGCCGGCTGATAATAAACATCGCACAAGATCGTATGACCTTTGGCGTGTGACCGGAAATCGGTCACACGCTTAAGTCACGTTAGCATAATGTCACGAATTTTAAAACGATTTTTCACGTTTGCTTTCGACAAAAAATAGACTCATCGCAATAAAATCAGGCCTGCTTTATTTACTTATTTTTTAATTTCTTTTATAGCCTGCAGAACTTGTTCCCCATGCATCGCGCGTGTCTCGCGCCCCCAGTCCGCTTCACAGTGCTAGCGTGAAAAGCGCAAAAAACTGAAATTGACTCCTGTTCTGCAATTGATTTCTTTTATAGACACCTTATAGGCATTTACAGGCTGTGAAAAAAGTGTATTTATTATTATTATTATTTTTTGAAGTGCCACGTCCTTTTCCTATAAATTTCAAACGTGACTGCTAAAAGACTGTTTGGAACCCATGGATGGAGAAAAGCTGTTCCGGAGAGAAGGTCAACCTTCCCGCCGAGCCAACTTTTGCGAGCGTTTATATGAGGAAAAAACTGACCACTTTGTCCGAGTCAACAGTGCTTGCGCATGCTGTCTTTGTCTAGCCTTGACCGTGTTGTCCCAGCTAGCTGGGCGAGCCAAAGTGGAGAAATATTAGCCGGGCTAGAAGGGTGAGGCCACCACTACCGGCTCAGTGGAGGGCTGACTTCCGGAAGCCCTCAACCCCGCCCACTACTGGTAGTAAGGCGTCTATCCGAACCAACCTTTTGTTTCTTATGTAAATGGCTTAGCAAGTTTTGTAAGGAAATTGAGGACAAGTTGGCTCGCCCAGGGTAGCTTGGGAGGTGAGTAAACACCAGATAACCCCAATAATAAGCACAAACTTTGATTGTCAGTTAGATGTCTACTATTTTAAGTAAGTCACCTTGCATGTGATTGTCGCATCCATGCCCCCTTCCAGATCCCCTTTATTATCGGTAAGCCTCTGATAGGTCAAAGTAATACAGTCGTACCTCCAGTAAGCGACCACCAAAAATGCAAAGACTTAGTGGTCCCTAACGGGAGGTGGTCGTTTAGAAGAATCGGACCACATGGGGTCTATTCCGAGAAGAGGTCCAGGCACATTCTATTAAATGGCGGTGTAACAAATTCCTGGCAAAATATTATCTTTTACCTCTTTCGACAAATACAGCTTTTAAATCATGCTCAATTTAAAGAGAGATTCAGGTGAGTGAGATATAGAATAGTCTAGAATCACAACAGTATCTTCACTTTGTTGGCTACATCTACTAAGTTAGGATATGTGTAGTTCCACGATGTCACTAAAGGTCTTCATATTTTCTAAGGAACATAGTGCACACAGCAAAAATAGAGAGCAGAGAATACGTCAGCTGGTCGCTCATGGAAAACAATTAACCGTGACGCCCAAAAAGTGGTCGCAGTCACTTACAGAAGGTGGTCGTTTACTGGAGGTTCCAACTGCAAGGCTTTGACTGGGAAAATTTGGTCTTTTGGATTGGCGGTCGCACATGGAGGTTCGACTGTGTTAGGTCTATTAGAGTATAAGCCACCATCACCTCACTGTGAGTGACGAGAGCCAGGAAAGTATAGTATACACTCCCTTAGGATACACAGAATCGTTGTTTTGAGGTCCCGTTTAGCGAAATGGATCATTCAAGGGAGGTGCTGAAGTCCCATAGTGAAATTTATAAGGTTTATGGGTTTTTAGTGCAAGACGAAACACAATACTTAGGGCCCTGTTGTTCAAACGTTGAACAACAGGAAATCACTATCAAGCGAATAAGAAGAAGCAATTGCGTTACTTATTGGATATAGTTATCCAGGGGAAAGCGTTAGTCCCGGGGGCGTTAGTCAACTTTTCGAACATACAGCCCCTCAGTCACTCTCCTCCGCAGACTTACCTTGGGCGACCAGGATAGGGGAATATAATACTCGACCTTCCTTGCATCATCGCGAGAGCCTATAGCCTTCACTTTCTTTTGACTCGTCCTACAAACCTACCCAACGTTCGTGGGAAAGGAAGGTCTGCTTGCGAGGCTTGGGAATCTAGGGAGACTATGGTAGCAAGGTGCAAATAGCCGGGATGAGCTACTTTGTCCACACGAACCGAGAGGATTGGGTCTGCTAGAAGAAATCAGGTGTAGCTTTCTGTGATAAGTAATATTCCAACAGTATAGGATCATAGTTTGAAGCCATTTCACAATCACTAGTTTCCGCGCACCTCTACCGGCGAGTTGTGGACAAAAGCAGCTGATAGCTGTATGCGAACCTTTTTTCCACAAAATGGTTTCTGGGTTTTCGTATTCGACAGTGTCATGTATTGATTTTTTTTAATCTTAGTCGAGGTCTTTTTAATTATGTACTGTCTATCTGACTGACTGTTTCTTTGTGTTTTTTTTTTCTGGTAATGACAGGTTTCATAATTTGGTCCTGATTGGGGTTATAGGCCCCTGATCGTGAGCAAATAGCGAAAAAATCAACAAGCAAAACCAAAGTGAACTATAGCGTTGAGTCCGTTGGCCACGGAGAATTGGTATTATTCTGCAAGTTCTTTACTACAGCAAGAGAGTATACTCCCTTGACTATGGGACATTAGGGACCTTAAGCATCGACAACTAAGCGGACGACGACGACGCTTTCCAACCGAGGCAGACTGGGCCAAGGGTTTCGTTTTCGGCGGGGAAAACGAAGTTTAAGCAGTGCAGCTTCCCAGACGGACCACGACTTTTTCTTTGCGAAGAACTTTGTCTTGTTACAGTCTTGTTAGGGCATTCAAAGACCTCCGTAATTTGCATTTATAAGGTATGAAGATGGATTAATCGACGATGGCGAATTCATTGTTCTTTAGGACCTGGATTATTTGATTGTGGAGGCTTTCTCTTCGTCGCGCAGCTTTTGTTTTTGTTTTGAAATGAATTTAAACCTGTATACCGATCTCGAACAGCTCTTGACTTGCAGTTAAGCTAAATTTCGGCTGCTGAAGAGAATTCAGTGCTGCTACAATGTTCTCCCATATTTGTCCTCTCTAAGGGCTCCTAATAACCACATCATGTTCCAGCTGAGTCCACTGGAAAATAGTTGCCTTTAACAGCGGCTAAAAACAACATGGGAAATTATTAAATCTTAGTACGAAAAAATGAACATTTATCCTATAGCACAACCTAGAATGCATGAGTAAACATAGGACCGTAAGGGAACGAACAGCAGCTAATCTTAAAGGTTCGGAAGATAGCAGAGGAAGGCTTACTTGTCTGTCCGACTTGTTGTTCCGCCATCACTCAGGTTTTTAAACAAACCGAACCTGAAAAATAAATTCAAGTTAGCAGGCGAAGAAACCGACAAAGTGTTTAACATTTGGATTCTGCTAATCCACAAAGAATATATTTCTACTTGTACTGAATGACAAGAGGGGGAAAGAGTGATTTACACGCAAAAAGTATAGTTTTATACTTACGTTTTAGCGACGACGGCAAACCTCCCTGAATTACGTCGTCGACGAAGGCTGGACGACGTTTTGACAACCTTACGCATGCCTAGAAGGTTCGCGCGGGAAAATTTCACTTCCGGTCGGCGTCGTCGTCCCATTTCGTCGTCGATGCTTAAGGTCCCTATTGGGCCGGGGGAACTTAGTATTTTGACCCGGCATAGGGGAGGGGGGGAGGGGGAGGGGAGGGGGAGGGGGTACTCTGGCCAGATTCCAAGTCACGGGGATGATCGAAGTATGTTTTTTTCTTGGTTTGAAAATATTTTGAACAAATTTTTTTTTTAGCTGTGGCTTTACTTAAGTATTCAAAATATTCGTTCTTTTTTGGTCTTAATTTTCGCTTCCACGGATCACTCACGACACTTGGAATCCGAGGTAACCCTCCTGTTTAGTACTTCGAAGGCAAAAAAGCTGTTTCAAAGCCTAGTAGGTAAAAAAAAAGAAAAATAAATATGCATGGATGTTTCTACTGCGATGAGAGGATTTCTTGTCAAAAAATGTGAAAACTGTATTAAAATTGCTGACAACAGCTACGAAAATTTCGTGACAGCATGCTGACGTGACTAAAGTGTGTGACCAATTTCCGGTCACACCAAAGGTCATACGATCTTATGCGATGTTTATTATCAGCCGACGAACGATTGAAGTGATGAAAGGTTTTCAAAATCGAAGTCATTAGTTTGCGATGAATTTTTATTCCTTTTGCCTCCTGACTGAAGTAAAAACTCTTGTAACTCTTGCTTCGACGTGTTGTGACTTTATTTCGATTCACGGCCGGATTCGGACGCAGTTGCTGAGCAAACGTGCGTTTGTCTTTTGCTAAAAATTATATATTTTGTGACTCAAAACGACGCAACAGAAGTTGGAAATAACTTTCCTTGCCGTGAAAACGTGTTACAAGCAATGGTGAGTAATCCTTTCATGTAAAACCTTTCTTTTAGTTTGACAACCGTCTGCAAGCCGTCTAATTTGCATAAATTTCCCAATTCAATTGCTCTCACCGCTTGCTTTGGTGTCAGGATGATATTTGATTTCCAGAGCTAAAACTTTCCAGTAAGTTAGTACAAAAGCCAAGGTTCCATTTTATATTGATTTTATGATCAAGCGGCATATACCAGAGGCCTTTTTTAATAGTCAAAGTTGGCCTTCATTTTCTAGCACGTTTAACGTCACAAATATGACCTCTTTACACTTGTCGATTATAAAAATGTAACGCATTGTTTATCAAATTTTCTTTTAGGATTTTCAAGAGTAAGAACAAAATAATAATTCGGTGAAGTTTCAATGTCAGGGAATGTTTCTTACGCGTTCACCCTTCTCTCGAAGTTGCCATTGCATCCTGCCGTGTTTTGTGCGAAAAACGAGCATAAAATCGATTTTTCAAACTTTTCCTAATTTCTCCTTTAAAATGAATCGTTTGAACCCAAAACTATTTTTCCTGAAATAAGGTCACTAAAAGGGATGTTTTGGCAAAATAAAAAAAAATTCGATTTTTTGACGAGTGTCGTGCGATTCTCGATTTTCTCAGATAATGACTCTTAAACATATACGATCGTAAAGCAAAGATACAAGGAACATTTCAAGTGTACCAGATCGGTGACGATCGCGCGGCCTGTTGCGGTATAACTACAGGTCGGAGTCAAAAATCAAACCAAAGTTGAACGAACTCATGCCTTTAACCACTTTCCAAGTGTCGTGTATTCTTTTCGTATGCCACACACTACTCCTAGAACCATACCAGATCGATAGGCTAAGCTTCTCTATCTCCAGAGACTCTACTGAGAACGTCCTGTTGCCGGACGGCCACGATACTCTTCTGAACCTCCATGATCAAAACCATTATTTTTTGCGTCTTCTTAAAACGTAACCAGTCAAACGACACAACCACACGTTAATCACCACTACCACTACTAAGTATAACTAGACCAGCCAAAGCGATTGATGCCCGAATAAAAGGAAGGATTTTCAATGATTGTACCGGTAATGGCGATTTCGAATTTAGTGTTGACCCGACAAATTTATTCTGAAGAGAGAAACGGCGCGCATGCGCATTATCGTGAACCAGTCCCTTTAAAGTCGTTGAAATTGCATTGCAATACATCAAAATGTATGTGACAGGAGTTTGAGCCAAAACTGCCAAGGAATATTTTTAAAATGTCGAGGAACAAGTCATTCGACTTCAGAGCAAGATTTGGAGCAATTTCTTGTGCTTCTAAAACTAAAAAGTACCTTTTAAAGAATAGCACGATAAGCAATCGGCTTTTGTTTTAAGAATTAGCAAACATTGAATTTACGTGTACCGAAAATTCAAACTGGTGTCCCCTTCTACCTGATAGTAATTTATTTTTGAAATTCCAAAACAATTTCACTGCTGAATTTTGAGCGACTTTTAGTTGCGGACTTCTGCTCCAAAGATTTTCCTGAAAATTGGATTTTCATTTATTATTTATTGCCTCCTTGACTAGACCTTTTGATAAAATTTATTTACATAAAATACTTTTTTCCTACCATAAACTATAAATTGTTGGACTTATATAGCTGTCTTAACATGGCATATTATTTAAGTAATTCGTACATGATATCACCGTTTCTTTTTTCTTCAAAAATATAACAAGTATTTCGATTTTTAGGTTCGAATTTATTAAAAATATATTTGAAACCTCTTTCTAACAATGTTGCTTTTCCCTCGATTGTCGTCATCACAGAGAAAGTTTACTTCAGCGCCCACAGTCCTAGTGTCAGTGGAGCATGAAAGGCGCGGTGTAAAGCATGATGCCTCCTCTGTGTGGGTTGAAGATGTAACGACAACCTCCTTCAAGATCTGCGTCTGAGAGTTACAAAACTTTGACGGTGCTCATGAAAGCATCCATATTGTAAGCTGCTTCGTTATTCGTTATGTGCACTTTTTACCACGAGAGTACACTTTATGCTCATTTGAATTCCTGTTTTAACGGTATGGTAGTCAAATTATCCTTTATACAGCACTTTTCTGCTGAAAATGCGCCAGTTTAGGAAAAAAAGGGCATTATTGATTTTACGAAGAATGTTATCGTAAATAAAAATGTCTCTAGGGTTTGTTAACCTTTTCTGCTTGCTGATGTGCCTTGATAGTTTTATATTGAAAGTTACTGTACGACTTTACCTCTTCTGCTTTGGCCTTAAAATTACAATTTGTTTGGTTGGCGCAAGTGTGGCGCAATTACCAGAAAAAAACCATTTAGGCCTTTTTAATTAAACTTACGTAGTATCAGTTTCCGTATTACACAATTTGATAGATTTTATTATCAATTATTTTATATTCCCCCAACATGAAAATGGTAATCTGTTAACCTGACAATTAATTGGTTTGTTGGCAGGATTGGATAGCTTTTGAGGAACTTCATCGACCACTTTTCAGAGAGCATGGTGCTATTTACTTTTCCAATGTGAACAAGCCATCTAAGGATATGAACTATGCTTTTTGTGAGGTATGTTCTCTCTTTTCTCCGCTGGAATGACCTTCAGTTCTCCAACCGAACTCCTCTCAGTTCAGTAACTTGCTCACTCACTGGCGCCTACTATCATCTGAATGCATTCAGCTTTCGGTTTCCAGTCATCCTCTCTGTTATCTTGGATATATACACCGCTCGGGGGGGTGGTGGGGGTACTTGGATTAATTTTTGCTGGGTATGTGCCGCTGGCCTTCCAGAGCCCCTACCCCATTATAGCCTATTTTGTGGCACATTATAGACCCCATGCATCTTAGTCACTTTTTTGGGCAAATACGTAATTTTCGCGATCCCAACTTTCTATTTATGTAATTACCTTATATTGAATGAAGAACACTTTACTTTTCACCTACAGTACAAACATTCTGGTACGTTTGCTTACCGTAAATATGAGGAACTGTCTTGCCCCCAAAATCAGAAAATGGGCAACCCCATTCTAGTAACTCTAGTGAATCCAGTCGTGAAAATGCGCCCCCATCCAGCAGCACATCCCCACTAGCCTCTTATAAGGAAGTACCCCCCCCCCCGCCCCCCGCGGGATATACACGAAGGTGATTCCCATATTCAACTCGCAAGACCTGCTTTGAACTGAAATAACAAAATTGTCATTCTCCTACAGCTGGGATGTCTTTTGAAAATTTCCTGTCCTCTTTCAAACGTTACTTTTATTTAATATTTCACACTAGCCTTGACTAATGCTTCAATTTTCGCTTTCTCACTTGTTTTTTCTAAGGATGTTGTCTTCAAAAAACACTACAATGATTCTCCTGAAGTCTTGGTGTGTGCAAACCATACAACGAGCGGAGGAAACCTTAATCCATTGTACAACTCCATATCAGCTTGGGCTGAGGTTAGATATTACTTTAAAATGAAAGAGCGATTTTTCAATCAATGAGCGTTATAAATTTTGGTTTTATATTTTTCTTAACAAGGTCTTTCCATAGGTGCGTCGCGGTGTAGGAAGTGAGTTATGTGAGTTTATGAATTTTATAAGTTGCCTCCCTTGCCCTCTGCTATGGGGTTGCAGCTGTATGATAGCAGCAGGTGTCAATAAAACGCGGATGCGCAGACGGTGTGCATTGTTTTTCTTTCTTATTTTCTTCCGTTTTCTCCTAAACAAAACAGAAAACAGAAAATGAAACAAGTGACCAAGACAAACCAGCAAACAAAAAGACAGTGGAACCCGATCCCGATGGCGAATTGGCATTTTACTAACAATTTATACTTTAGGGCATAGGGGATGTCAATACGAGCGTTTTTGACTCTGGCCGACAATGAAGCGACAGCTTTTAGCAGCCAGTTCTCTCTGATTACTCCTTCTTTTCTCGGTCAGTACATAAACAAGACCGGTTTTAGAGCCTGCGTGAAGGAGCTGTTTGTACAACAACATGATCCTCTGTCAGTATCATATGCAGTCTTACCAGGTGAGAAAGCATTGAAATTCGGTTATGATGTCATTCGGCACTGTGCTGATGACTAATTATGAAATTATCTTTAATGCATTGTAGACCTACTTGTCATGTTATAACCCAGTCGAGCAGACGGGCGATCTTTTCTTTTCTTATTTCTTTTTTTGGGGGGGCATATAGCCACTGCAAGCTACAAAACTCCCTTGTTTTTGTGAGGGTAGTCAGTTTATTTGGTTCTTTCTTTAGAGCTGGAGAGAAGACTTATTTCTTAATTTATTGCCATTCATTTTTGTGTTCTGAAGATGTTTGTCCACCCGGATGGAGCTTCTACAACGGTTCCTGTTACTTTAGAAGCAAAACATGTGAGACATGGACCAACGCAAGTTTCATCTGCCGATCAATGGGAGCTAATCTACCTGCCATTGAAAGCCAGGAAGAAAACGTCTATATTCAGCACAGGCACAATGGTGATAAGGCTTGGATTGGTTTGAATGATATTGCCACTGAAGGAGTGTTCGCTTGGGTGGATGGCTGTCCTTTTAAATTCCGCTACTGGGCGAAGAATCAACCAAACAATTTCAGAGAAGAAGATTGTGTTCACACCTTTGGACCAAGGCATGGGTACATGTGGAATGATGTGGATTGTTCTACTTGCCACCAATACACTTGCAAGAAAGGTATGTGAAATGTTTTTCTACCACGAATGCCAGTTGCATACAAACGTCGTTTTAGTCCAGTAGCCGAGGTCCGAAAACGGCCGTTTTGTTCAGCCCACGGGTCAAAATGTTTGATACCGGCCTTTGGTAGAACAAGACGTCCTGATTATTGCCTAATAATTTGTAAGGTCGATTTGTTGTATAGGTTTCGAGTAAACGGCGTTTTTATGCCACGCACCCCTCGGTCTAGAATGAAAACGAGGCTGGAGTCTGAATCATTATTTACCTCCTAATTCTTTGTTGGGGATAAGCACAGATTTCTTCGACTCAAACGAGATAAAAACTAAAACAAAAATACAAAACATGTAGGTAGAGAGCAAAATAGAACTGAAAAACGAACCAAATACTTACAAGTTCTGTGCTCTCTCTACCATACAAACGACGTAACAACTATCACAGATCAACACACTAGTCACATGGAAAAAGAAGTCACGTGACCAGTGCTCAGGTCCCTATCAAAAAAACCTAACAGTTTTCGGATAATTTTCATGTCCGATTTTTAAATTAGATTTGTCCCGAACATCCCGGCCGCGTTGGGGCGATCGCATAGAACGTCCCAACAGTTAAACTCAGCATCTACACCGCATCTACTTCTTTTACATCGTTCTCAAGCAAGCACCACTTCTGTATAGGACGAACATAGACAGCATCCTTGGTCTTGACCTTCACAGTCCGTACTAGACCATCTGCACCCGGGTACGTCTCCAACACTCTACCGAGATTCCAATGCCCTCTAGGGGTGTTGTCGTTAACAAGAAGAACCAAGGCGTCGGGTTTGATATTAGGCAGCACTCTTCGCCATTTACCTCGTTGTTGGAGGGTTGGGATGTACTCCTTCAACCACCTTTCCCAAAACAAATTAGCCAAAAATTGAACCTGCCTCCACTTCTTTCTGTAAATGTCAGTCTTCTCAAAGACTCCAGGAGGCAAACAGATGATCTTCCTCTGCATCAATAGGTGGGCCGGTGTTAGCGGTTCGAGATCGTTCGGATCGTCCGAGTTCGCTGTGAGGGCTCTTCCGTTAAGGATACGCTCAACCTCAGTAACGAGTGTTCGTAGAACCACATCTGTCACAGTTTGCGCCCCCAAAATGGACTTTAAGACTGTCTTTGCACTTCGAACCATACGTTCCCACACGCCAGACATACTTGTTGCAGTCGGGGGTTGAAATATCCATTTACAGCCTCGTTGTATCAGCTCTCTCTCTATCTGCCCTTGGTTCCATTCCTGGAGACTCTTCTTCAATTCTCGTTCGGACCCAACGAAGTCAGAACCGTTGTCACATCGTAACTCTTTCACGTCTCCCCTTCGATTTATAAAACGCCTTAAACACATGATGAACTCATCAGTATCCATAGAATTAACCACTTCAAGATGCACGCTACGGGTGGTCAAACAGGTAAACAAGCAACACCACCGTTTCGCGGTCCCTCGGCCATGTTTCACATAAATCGGGCCAAAGAGGGCCATACCAGTGAACGAAAACGCAACCTCGTCCCCAGGGCTTTTCCCTTAAATGGGTGGGGCGGGAAAAGGCCCTGGCATCGGCTGGTCACGTGCACAGCCTAAATATTCCTGAGAAGCCAATTTATATGCAACCCGCTGGTTTTGCGCTGACAGAAGTCGAACGGAGCAACAATGGAAAATAATAATATCGCGAACTGTATGTCAATATTTTCGCGTCTGGGCGATTCAAAAGCTTAAGATCCATTTAATTGCGTATTATTCAAATGCTACAAGAACCGGCTCTACGTTGTCACGTACAAAATATGTCAAATGCTTCAGAGTTGAGACAAGCTGTTATCGAGTAGTACTTCGACTGAAATTCATCGTGACTGTGGAATTACTGTACGATCAAGCAGAAAGTGATTTTGTCCAATGTCAAACAAAAATGCGGGCCTTTGCCTCTAGGATCTGCAGTGAATTTAAACAAATTGGACTTAACTGAAATAGAATTGTTCATCAAAATACTTTATGATGGAGTCTGGTCTTCTCTACAACTCGACCATGAAACAAACAAATCTCCGCGCCGGATGCAAGTCAGCCCTCCAGCCAGGAACGATGACAGGTCGCCGATCTGAAACATTTTAAGATCTCTTATATCTTTTCTCTTCCGAGGATAAGTACAAAGGATTTTCCTTATATCAAAGGGAAGATTGACCGATCGATTGGAATCAACTACAGCTCTGTCAATTTTAAATGGACCCAAGTCTTTTTTTGTTACCAGTCGTTTGATACCCTGGGTGCCAGAAACTTTTCATGCGCGGTTTCCGGTTTCGGTCAAGTCTCGCAGAGGTCAATGAATTTTTAAAAAGACAGATCATACAAGATAAGTCTAAACCAACGCGTGACGCTATGATATGGCTGAGAGTTAAGTTGAATAGAACTAGGTTGTGTACGGCGGTCCACTTCGCAAGAAATAAAATAAAATATCAAAAGAGTCGAGAAAACGGACTTTTGCAGTACAAACTTTATGCATGTACGATAGCTTGTTTGTCATTTATATCGCTCTATAAAGGAAGTTTTACAAATGTTACCGCTCGCTGTCCCCTTCATGGAAATCGGAGGAAAGCAAAAAATTACCATAGCCAGTATCTGTGACAAAAAAGAAATCTTGTAAAACTTTTCGTTAATCGTCAAGAGATATAAAAGGCCGCCCAAGATCGCGCGCTGTGAGGTTACGCATAATTTTAGCTTTTCACATAGCGCTAATTTATTACACCCAGGATTTTAGGGTGTACGAGGGGACACGTGACCAGCCGATGCCAGGGCCTTTTCCCGCCCCACCCATTTTTTAAGGGAAAAGCCCTGGGGACGAGGTTGAACGAAAACGGTGGCTCATAGGCTGTAAGTCGACATGTGGGTAAGGGTGCCATCTGCTGGGTCATAGGTTTGGCGTTAAGTTTCTTGCAGGTAAGGCATCGATTAAGGACCGATCTAACCAATACACGCACTTGAGGGATCCAGAAATCTTCCCGCAACTTTGCAATAACATGTTCCCGTCCCAAGTGACCAATAAGGTGGTGAACGTGACGTACAACCACCGGATGATCTCTGGGAAAAATCATTTGTTGGCCGAGTGTACAGGAGGTCGGCTTGAGCTGACCACGGCCATTAACTCTCAGGATTCCGCCTTCGTCAAGTTTGGGATTCAATGACGCAACCTTGCTTGACGGCTTGACCGCACCGTTAGACTTCAAATCTTTAATCTCCTGTGCATACGCCAATCCTTGGACAATCCTCACAATTGCTGCAGTTGCCGCGTCAAAATCGTCAACACTGAGACGTCCAGTTTTGGCGTTCTGTTTGTCCTTAACAAATTGTACAAAACGCAGCAGCCAGGCCATTCTGCGCCTGAGGCGGGACCAATCTGAACAGGTAGTTAATAACACTCGGAGGGGCGGTTCTTCACAGCTTTCGACGGCCGTAGGCCTTGTATCTTCCTTCTTCGTCACGGACGGATTAGGGGAAAGTTGGACAGAGTGCACGAGAGCTTCCTTCTTTAACTCCAGACCTTCATCGGGTACGAATTGGCACTTGTCTGTGGGCCAACAAGTTTCCGGCTCCCACAAGAAGTCAGGTCCACTAAGCCACCTATGGTCAGCAGTTAGCGAAGACGGGCTTATTCCTCGGGACACATAGTCTGCCGGGTTTAAGGATCCTGGCACATGATGCCAATCCTCTACAAGTGTGTGCTCCTTTATTTCTTCCACTCTGTTAGCTACAAAGGTCTGAAGTCTTCGTTTCTCGTTTCTCAGATAGTGCAGCACTATTTCACTATCAGTCCAAGATACGTCTTGGAAATGTTCAGTTAAGTTCCTCTCGCAACATCTTAAACATCCGGGTTGCGAGTACAGCTGCTTGCAATTCCAGTCTTGGAATACTAACAAATTTCACAGGTGCATTTCTGGCCTTACCAATAATGAAGGCGCAATGAACTCGTCCATCGGGGTACTCGCTTCGCAGATATGATGATGCGCCGTAACCAATCTCTGACGCATCTGAAAACACATGAAGCTGTAACTTGCATTGACGCGGGTCACCGTCCGACAGGAAATAGGACCGAGGGATGGACAACTCGGACAACAAGGGTAACTCAGTGTTCCATGCTCGCCACTTAGACAGAAATTCTTCGCTCAGGGGCTCATCCCATCCTATGTTAGCCTTCCATAGGTCTTGAATCAGGCGTCTTGCAGACAAAGCCACTGGTGCTGCGAAACCCAGAGGATCAAACAATGAACAAACAGTGGAGAGTATACCGCGCTTTGTTTCAGGGCGAACTAGGCTTCTTATTTCGAACCCCAACGTATCATCTCCAACAGACCAACATACTCCGAGTGCACGCTCTATAGGTAGCTCGTCCAGGTCAAGGTTTAGATCTGGCTTAGATCGCTTATCATTTGGGACAGCACTTAGTAGTCTCTTGGAGTTCGACGTAAACTTGGTCAAGTTAAATCCGCCTCGAGCGAGCAGTTCTACCATGTCATGGGCTAGGCGAATTGCGCACTGTTCATCAATCTCAGAGGGAAGAGCATCGTCAACATAGAAATTTCTTTTCACAGCTGCAATAACACTAGAGCTGTGCTCTTCGGCATTGTCGTCGGCCACACGGCGCAAAGTGGAGTTTGCAATACAGGGGGAGGAAGCCGCTCCGAAAATATGCACTTGCATGACGTATGTATCAGGGGGATTATCATATCCATTTGTCCACCACAGGAACCTCAAGGAATCCTGGTCTTCCTCACGCACACGTATCTGATGAAACATCTTTTCGATGTCGGCAGCGAACGCTATTTTTCCCTGGCGGAAACGTAGGAGAACACCAACCAAGTTGTTGGCTACATCTGGTCCAGTCAGCAAGTTAAGCGAAGTTCCCTTGCATTCATCTGCTGCATCGAACACAATGCACACCTTGCCTGGTTTGGTAGGACTGGTTACAGGGTGATGCGGAAGATACCAATGTGTTTTAGACTCTTTGTTTAACGCTTCTTCTGACAACTTGCGAGCGAACCCACTGCTGATATAACTATCCATAACTTCGCGGTACTTAACGGCCATTTCTTCGTTGCCAGGTTTCGTAAGACGGCGTCTCAGGCACTCTAGACGGTGCTTGGCCATGGCTACATTATTCGGAAACTGGCGTTCTTTCTCCTTCCACAGCATACCGACTTCATACCGACCGTCCACGCAGCGGGTGGTGTTCTCAATTATCTTCAAGGCTATTTTGTCTTCCACCGAGAGGGGTTTCTCATTTGATTTCAGTGTCCCGTAATCCTCCAGATTCCAAAATTTTTCAATGAGAGAACGCGGTTCAGGGTCAATCGAGACAAAGTTTGCTGAAACCCCTTGACGACAATTGGCACCATAAGGACCGCAAACGCACCAGCCCAAGGGATAACGACAGCCATAGAGCCCTTTCTTCTTATCTTCAGGGACTCTAACTTCCTTCTGTAAATGTGCATAGGGAATATTGTTTCCAACAAGTATAGAGACTCTCTTGATGGCAACCTCCGGGAACTCCACATCACGTAAGTGCGGGTACTCAATAGTGTCAATCTGCTCCGGAAGAGTACAGCGCGACTAGTTGAGGTTAGGCAGGACATAGGCCTCCGAAACGTCAATACTCTCCCCGGAAGTATCCACCGAAGTCAAGGTAAAGGACACACGTTTCGACTCTACCACATTGTCACTACTTGAAATCGTGTTAATTCCGATTTGCACGGGCGTTCCTTGAATACCAAGGTGATCAACTAAATCTTGTTCAATGAGGGTGTCAGAGCAGCCACTGTCTAAGAAGGCGTAAGTGGATACAGTTTTACCATTCTCAACAGATATAACAACAGGTATAACGTTCAACAGCACTTTCGCTTGCACAGTCGCAACGGCAGCGGACGATATTGGCACCTTTCCCACAGACTTGTTAGACTTGTCTCCGCTCGCGGCTGGAGTGACATTTCCCCTTTCGCTGTTTGGGGATTAAGGCGTCGCCAATGGCTTGTCAGACTTATCACTAGACTCTCTATTATTCCGTGGGATGAAGCGACGACCACCATAATTACTTTCAGAGTGCAGAAGAGGAATGTGTCGACCGGAACATACTGAACATGCTGGTGGGTCCGGACAAGAAGCGTGTCCGGGCCTTTCAAGACCACAATTAAAACAAAATCCACAGGATGCCGCATACTGTCTTCGCACTGCCACGTGTTTGCACTGTTTGATAATAGGGCATTCTTGGAGTTTGTGACGCTTACTTGATTTGCAAATTCCGCAGTGTTCAGTGTTCTCAGAAGCAGGAGTTTTATGATCAACGCCGGTAGTACTGATTGTGGTGTTCTTTACTGGAAGCTTTGGAGGAAGTTTGGTATTCTTGTTTTCCCGTTTAAATGTCTGCAACCCGAACACCGGGTCATTTTCTGATAGACGCTTGTTTGTGCACAAAATCAGCGACGTCCTTTAATCGAGCGGATCTTCCGGACTTCACGAGCTCGTAGTTCACGGTTTGCCACTTCAGGATTAAGTCATTAGATAAACGGTTCACGATGCGCCTGAGGTTCGTCGCTACGCTCGCCTCGCGTTCTACGTCTCCCTTGAGGATCCTGGTGGCTGCATTTAAGTTCTCAGAGAAATTGAGAAGACCAGCATTGTTGCCGTACGCCAACTTGGGGCCAGATGCGAGCTCTTCCACACATGCTTGCGTCACTCTCACCGCTTGGCCAAAACGTTCCTCCAACGTTTTCATAATCTCGTTAAACGTACAACCTCTATTACGCTTCACAACCTCTAACGCTTCTCCCGCCACGAATTTAGGCAGATAGTCCACTTGCTGGGCATCAGTGAGCAGGTCGCTTTCGAGGTGCGTACGAACTTGTTCACGAAAAAAGGGGAACTCGGCTGGATTACCACTGAACTGTGTCGGCTTTATTCCGCTAAGATATTGTGCTTTCCACATTGCGACAACATGATCACGGGGAGCCTGGTCCGTGCTGGAGACGGTCTGCGACCTCCCGAAGTTAACACGTTCAGGGGACTGGGTCGAGTTAATCCCCGCAGAGGAAGTGGTGGTGTTTAATCCCTTCACAGACGATTCATTGTGGCTCAACATAGTGTCTGACGGTCTTGAAACTGCTGGATACTTTGGCTCCGTTGATTGAGGTGTTCCAATGGATATCACATACACGGCACTCGGTTGACTGTTAAACCCATCTCTAGAAACATACTCAGACGTAACTGGGTTGGAGTGTGATTGCTTGTTAACAATAAACGTAGAAGTGTTCAAGGCACTAGGCACAACAGGGGGGAGTTTACTTTCAGTCAAGTTATCCATTTCAATTTTCCATTCAAGCTCAGCCAATGTTGCTTCCTCTTCAAGGCGCCTAAGTTCCATCCTTTGCTTATATTCATGAGCCACTCTTGCTGCTTGTGCATCTTCCTTTGCCCTAGCTCTTGCTAAGTCTAGTTTCATTTTAGACACCAGTGCCCTCTTTAGTGATTTCTTCTGTGAGGAAACTGATGATGCCTCAGAATGTTTGGTAACATGAGTAGCAACGCTGAGCACTGACTTATTGTCATCTCGTTTCGGATCCCAGACTGGTAGTCCGCGGTCCATTCCAAGTTCGTCATGCCGGGGGTCTGGTCTTCTAAACAAACCCTCACACTCATTGATAATATCGTCCACTTCACGTTTCAGAGTAGAATAACGTTCTTGTACATGTTCTAAGCGTTTTCTCTCGTTAATTCCTGCAAGGTACCTCCCATGAAGTCCCTCGAGCCTGTCCCATTTTTCCAAGAGCAAGTCAACAGATTTCTTAGCTTCCTCTGGACTCAGTGTTACATGAATTTCAGACTGAATTTCTTTCAATAAACTGTCTATTTCCTTGCTAATATTTGACCACTGCGTTGCCGTACTCCTCTGGTCCCGTGAGTCCCTTTTCCGATCCGATTCCAAAAATTCAACGCGAGTAGTCGGCGGGGGCCTGGGACGAAAATGATAGCCATCGCCTTCCCGCGAAGCGCTCAATGGCTGTGAAAACACATTCGTAGAAACACAAGAAGGTAAAGAAATATCGCTCCGAGTTGAAACCACAGGTAACTGAATCGAAAAATTGGGCAATCCACGATCCATTCCAGACCCAGCGTAATCCAAACTTATACCACGACCACTGTCGAAGCCAACGTTCAATCTATTCGAAGCATCCATCGATCACACTTGAAAACATGCAATTCCAATAGGACTTTTTTCACTGATGTTGGGGATAAGCACAGATTTCTTCGACTCAAACGAGATGAAAACTAAAACAAAAATACAAAACATGTAGGTAGAGAGCAAAATAGAACTGAAAAACGAACCAAATACTTACAAGTTCTGGGCTCTCTCTACCATACAAACAACGCAACAACTATCACAGATCAACACACTAGTCACATGGAAAAAGAAGTCACGTGACCAGTGCTCAGGTCCCTATCAAAAAAACCTAACAGTTTTCGGATAATTTTCATGTCCGATTTTTAAATTAGATTTGTCCCGAACATTCTTTAATTAAAAAGCGCTAAAAAATGGTAACTTAGTTTTAAATGTTCAATATGACAAAGGAATTATTATATTTTCAAGTCAAAATTGTCACGTGACTGATCGCGTAACTTGCACAAGGACAAATTATTTGCTTGAAATAAAGGAAAATCGCGCATTTCCTGTTTTTGCTTTTTCTTTCTAAGAACCAGTTTTAAATATCTGTGCTTTGCTTAGTATTAGTTGTTTTCCTTTATTAATTTTTTGCAAGTAACGTTTGCAGGATAGATTTATAAAACATTTTTAAATTTTTGTAGCACTTGACATTATATGAACATGACAGAGAGTTTTTTTTTTATACTGGCTTGAGGTCGCATAGAAGAAGGGGAGTGTATCCGGGAAGGTTAACCAACTAAACGAAAGAGTTAAACGATACTGACATCTCTGTTTGAAGTCTTCAAATCGCACGTAAGAGCCCAGTCAAAGATGTTTGCAATTTGATGGCAGTGTGGTTACATGGTTAGTAAGTACAATTTTACAATTCATAAAAGCAGAACGAACATGAAAATTGGCACTTGCTTCTAATATATCTACCCTTGCAACTACGACGCCACATCCGTAACTATGTAGGATGGCTATCAGTGTACCTTGCTGATATATTAAACAACTGGAGTCACAACACTCAAAAGTGTATCAATTATTTGTTACTGAAAATCACTCCATTAGCCGCAGTGATCAGGTATTTTCTCGGGTCTCAGCTGTCACAACCCAGGAGCAATCTACGTAGCCCACTCGAAGTCAAAGGGTGGGAGTGTTGACATAGTCTTAAAGTCCGAGATCGCTAGAAAGATGGTTTCTAACTATAATACATCAAAGAGCCTCATATCTCTAAAAAAGATGTGTGGTTCATACAGAAAGTGACCACGTAACAACACAAGGAAGCTGCATCGAAGAGAGTGAAGCGTAATTAACAAGACGTCAGGGAGCTAGTTGACAGTTTTTCCTCTAGTTTATTGATGAGTAACCCTTTCGTCCAAGAAATGGGGTCTCTTGTTAACTTTGCTGCTGGCGTAGTACTGACTTCAAATGTTGCAGAGTGTCCTGTTAGCAGTGAAAATGGTCGAGAACAGACGAAATATTTTGTACACTAATACTGTAAATTTTTGGCATCCTGTCCAAAGCTTGAAGGTAAAGACTTTTAGAGTACCATGTCCGAGAAAAGTGAATGTTAAGGCTTCAGATGACAGGGTTATAACTGTATAACGCTGACAGAGTCCTCTTTGGGCGGCTACATATTGCTGCTAACACCCTTTGAAGGAAGCTTTGTGCTATGAGTTGTCCTCAATTCCATGCGCACTCGCAGACCAAGAAGGCAGCTTGTGAAAAACTTATAAGAGTATTCTATTAACTACAATTGAGAAAGAAGTCAACGTCGTTGAACATTAAGTAAGTTACTTTTTTTAGCGATTTTTTAACAAAGAATTAGGAAATAAAAGATTATTCAGACTCCAGCATCGTTTTCATGCTGGACTGTAAGGTAAGGTGCATGGCATAAAAACGCCGTTTACTTGAAACGGAACTTGAAACTTGTTACCACAAATCGACCTTACAAATTATAAGACAATAATCAGGATGTCTTGTTCTATCAAAGTCCGGTATCAAAACTTTTCTCCCCGTGGATTGAACAAAACGACAATTTTTCGACATCGGCTTCTGGACTATTTGGAGCACTGTGCTTGGAAAATTTAACCCTCTTCATTTATAGTTGTTTATTCCAGCACATGTCTCGCGCAGTCTTGTAAAGTCTGTGAGTCTTCCCCAATCTTTGATATGGAAATGTAAAAATGAGATGTTAATTCCCGTTTTGTTATTAAATATGTCGGTTAGCCCTCCGCAAAAGGTAGCCCAAAAATGCTATTCTGCAAGCAAGTTCCTAGTAGCTGTATGTACAAGGGTAATTTCCATGCATGTCAAATGGATTTTGTTGCTCAAAGCTGACACTTTCTGTACAGTGTCGTATTACGCACAGATTCTAACTAAAGCTACTGTGACCAGTCATATTAACAGTGGCCAGTTTACCACTTTCGACTGGTCGGGCACAAAAGGCTAGCCACTAAGAAAACTGTTTTCAATCAAAATTCCATACTATCCTACAGATAGTGGCATTAGTTTATACACGGTCCGTTTATACGTGCTGCGGTTTACAACTGATTTCAGGCAACTTTATAGCTATAGATTTGCGGGTTCCGTTATCTTTATCATGTGTATGTAATGGACTCTATTTCACTGAACGGCTCTTGGCTAAAAAGCGTAAAAAAACTATACGATTCGTTCATTAATAACGTCTGGACAATAAAAGGGCGGACGGGCTCTCATCATTGAACCTATAATATAAACATTATTTGTCATATTTAAACTAGATTATGACGAATGCACCAGTAGCCCGTGTTTGAATGGTGGGACCTGTGTGAACGGTAACAGAAACTTCACCTGTATCTGCCCTCGAACACACAAGGGGAGGAATTGTGAAGGTTGGTTGAATAGCATACACTGTATATTCAAATGAATTAGTTTACAAGAGCTAATTTTCAAATTTTCATCATTAAGAGTGCGCCACTAAAAATTAGTTAATATCCGTTTAAACTTTGGATGATGGGTATATGTTTAATTAAGTCCTTTATCTATTTAAGTGATTTGGGTTGCGGGGGACACCTTGAGCTCATTGTTACGCTTTTATTTAAGGCCTATGCACGAAGTGCCACGGACTGATATCGATAAGTTTTCTGTAAAATTTTGACTAAATCGCCTCTAAAAAAGCGCAGATATAAGCGTTTTAAGTAATGGCCCAGATCAGAAGGAAAGAACCAAATGCAATGAACACGTCGGAATGCAAAAAGGTGCTATCTTTACTATTGTCTCTCAGGCTACTACACTTCTGGTCCTATTTGTTCAAAAGGTAGATGACGCTATCCGCTTGAAAAATCTAGATCCAGTGGATAGCGCAATTGGTTTTTCCAATATTTACAGTATGTTGCCCAGTATCCGGACACTTCAGTTTAAGATTGCAATAACTTTCCTTTGTTAAGAGAAAATCTATCTGGTCCTTAATATGACGAAAGACAGTTTAACTTTTTTGCTTTTGTTTCCATGGCGAAATTAATATTTTTGCAGAGCTCCTATGTTGCCCAGTATCCGGCCTGCTGGCCCAGTATCCGGACACAACAATAACAACGTAACTGTCCATAAATTTCGACAGGCAAGCGACTCATAAGCTTCTCTTGCACTTGCAAAGTAATCTGGCTATCGATTCCAAAAATATAACCTAGTATCGTGAAATAAAACATAACAAATGATTGACGTATGGTGGGGAACGCGAGCGGCTGTTTTGAAAATGGTATAATTCTTACTTCCTTGTCTAGGAACTTTTTCATTGATGCAAGGAAGGCATCCGTGGACATGCCGAAGCCGCAGTTTACAAGCTCAATTAGCCAATCTGCAAACGACTTTCTTTCTTCATTTTTTATTTTAAAAAAAAGCTTGGGGAACGGACCTTAACCCGACGGTCAAAGGTCATTCTCCTATTTAGTCTGACCTGCAGTGTTGATTTCATGCTCAGTCCCCACAATAAAGCCTCCTTTTCTAGCACTAATTCCTCCTTCTTTCACATCTCTCAATCCCTTTGTGACATTTTTCAGACCGTTGCAACCCCATTCTAGCAGTCACAACTGGGGAAAGTATGAGAATTCCAGGTTCAACTCAGACGCTTTCAGTTATATATAGAAAATGCAGTCACGCCAAACAAGCCGTGCACATGAAATCAAGTCGCCTCTGAATGAGTGAAGAAAATTTCCATACGGAGTTGAGTAGAATTACATTTTACGACTACATCATATATCCTAAGCTTTAATTATAGTTACTGATATGAAATAAATCTTATCCGGATAGATTACACAGCTAATTCATCGATTCTGTACAGCAAAGAAAAATCTGTCCGGATACTGGGCACATGACATCAAAACTTAGTGAATGTTTCTGGCCCCCGTTATTCCAAACAAATCGAATTTCAAGAAGAATTAATAAACTTTCTGAAAACCTGGCTTCCTTAAGTATCTTCACTTTAAAAATAAAACAGTTTCTTTAAAAATATCACACATTACCCTCTCTTTTCTGACCAGCACTAATTTTACTGCGCAGTAAACAGCGTAAATATTAGCCACGAAAAGTTTACTCACCTGAACAGAACGGCGTTTTTCTCGACTGTTTCGCAAGCTTTCAATTCGCCAAAACTTTCATCTTAAAGCTGAAATTTTCAGCTTTCATTCGAAATACTTTGTTTACTGAGAACTGAAAAGGGCGCCTCAAAAATTGAGTTTTTGTTTCAAGTGTCCGGATACTGGTACCGTCCGGATACTGGGCAACATACTGTATCGCCTGGATAGTGATTTGTTCGGTGGAAAGCGCTATCCAACGTTTGAACAACGCGGGCCTTGTTGTTCTAAACATTCGCAAAGCAGCATGTATATTAATCCCTTGTTTTTTAACCAACTTCCCTATAAAAACTGAGTCTAAGTAACACAGAAATCCTCCGTGAAGAACATGTAAAATAATTGTAAACTTTTCTTGCCTAGTTTTTTCAACTCTTATGATTGGTGGAAATCTTTTAACACACAAAAAAGCGCCTATTAAAGATGGAGTTTAAATACATTTTTTTTCGTGGCTAGACTGCCTTTTTGTTAGTTTACGCATTCTCTGTGTAAAACATTTCTATGTGAGGAAAGCGTATTGCGCCATAACAAAAAAAAAAATGCTTCCCTTCTTACTAAACGTAACAGGATCATTACTTATTTTTACGTAGATAAGTACTGTAAGTACTACTAAGTACATTACTTAAAGGAGCTACGTCACACGAATGTTTGGTTTTATTCTAAAACCAAAAAAACACAATCGAATCAAAGAAAACCTTGAAATAATAGTTACATTTTATCTAACTAGTGCTTTACTACTGTATATCAACTATAGGCGAATCCTTGTTTAGAATTTTTGCCCAATTTACATATGCTTATCATTGTCTGATGAAGCTGATAAAATAACATCTCTGAATATTGAAAGAGCATAAGAATTTCAATTATCTCTTTAAATTTGAGCCCGATATACCGAAAAGTTTTAGAGAAATTCTCCTTGAAAAAAACCCCAAAATACAAAGAATGTACGAGCTCATTAACGTTTTTCCACCCAGCAATTTCGCAGTTTTTGATTGCTGCTATTTTCTTTGTTGTTGATTGCAAAGAGCTGAAACTTGCACAAACTGCTCAAATCAGCCAGGCGCTCTCTCAATTTTTGAACCTAATTTGTGTATACGGCTACGTCTTTTATGCGTTAACTAGTATGCTTATCAGCAAAAACGTAAACAATGACATCACGCTGAATCCGCCTATACGCGCATGTCTTTCAGTTTCGAGGGCCAGGATGGAAAGGAATAGAAACTTGAAAAAATTAGGCCAAATCACTTTTCAAGTTAAATTCCTCTGTTTTCAAAAAAAAAAAAGACTTAAAATGACCATACGTTGTTTCCCTTTGACTTTCTTAAAATCGAATGATATCTTTCTTTTAAAGTTAGAAGTAGGAGAAAGGAGGCCAGCTCAGCTTTGACAAAAAAGCGGAACTCACTAGGACATAGCCCCTTTAAGACTCAGTTATTTGTTCAAATTACAATTCACCTTGTTCTTCGTTCTGTTCAGAGTTCGATGATTGTTATAGCAGTCCCCGTTTGAATGGGGGAACTTGTACTGATGGCATCAATAACTACACATGCGCATGTCCTTCACCATTCTTTGGAAGCCAGTGTCAAGGTACGACAACCAAATTTTTAGTTTATTATCGAAACCTAATTTGTCTTGGTTAATATGGTTATTTCTCGTTTCGTTTTCGATTTTGTTTACTTTTTGGAAGAGCATGGTGACAAAGGTGACTCCCGACCAGACCTCTTTCATAATGGCGGCCTATTAATGTATTCTTTCATTAGTATGATAATAAGCCTTTCTGTCCTCGTTTGCATGTGCAAAATACAAAAGAATTCCTATACCTTCAAATAAACGAGGTCAGAAAGGATGATTATCTACCTACAAACGAATATATTAATAAGCCGCCATTACGAAAGAGGTTTATAACTAAAACATTTAGCAGCTGAAAAAAGTGATATAGACCGATATAGCCGACCAAATACATTAAGACTTTAAACTAATAATGTCAGTCCCCAAATACCTTATCCTTATCAGATCAATGCTTGTAAAATCGTCATAGTCACAATCCTGTGGATCTTCTAATAAACAGAAACAGATGAATGTCAGTCCAACCCTTGTCAGAACGGTGGGATATGCGTGGATGGGGTTTATAGTTTCTCGTGCCTGTGTTCAAGTACGTACACTGGTTCACTTTGCCAAGGTAAGGAAGCTTGCTTGCCGTGTTCTCTTGGATTATTATTTTTTTTGAATTTCTATATTAGCAAAGGAGGTATTCAATGTTGTGGTCGCGGTATAGTAGTCTTCTTGGGTGTTGTTAAGTAGATTTAAGGTAAAAAGTGTGTTTTGCCGTTGCTATTCGTCGTCCATAGATCCGGCAGCGACGTCTTGTGTAAGCCATTATTCAGCTGGGCGAACTAGCAACGGAGAATATTACATCAAAGTCAGCGGAGTAACTTTCAAGGTAAGTGTTTCTTCTCCTGTTTTGGTTCTCGTTATTACCTGTGGCCCTATTGGGAATCTCTTATAGTACAGGAAAATGGTACAGAAAACGTGAGGAAATGTTCAAATTAGTGTTAAAAGCACGAAATTTGGCAGAGGTATAGAGGTCAATAGCCTGAGCAATTCTGGATAGGACGGCACGTCCCAAACTGAATACTACCAGTTTTATAGGCATGGAATTAACTAACTGTTAAACAGCAAAAACATTCTTAGAGTAGAAGCACGGGTCCGAAATTTGTAAGAGCGATAAAGTACAGTATAGTGCACGCAGTACTACTCATAGAACCACGCCCTCTGAGGGATGCTTCCAGAGTTATAGATGAGGAATACATTATGCAAGTATCCACCAAAGGCGTGGTTCTACCCATAGAAATACACATCGCAATGTAGCGAACCACACTGACATTTTGAATCTTTTGATTCCATCTCAAAAATGCCCTTTTTGTGACCTTTTTATATAATCGATTCTATAGCTGTTTATACAATGATGTGAATGCTACGCGCGCTGTGATTGGTCGTTGCCCATGATCTATTAGAGTACAGATACATGGATGTCGTCACGGGAAACTTGTTTTCTTTGTTTTGTTCAACATGGCACGCGGTTTTGAAAATGTTTGTGAGATTATTTCGGATTGAGGCAAGTGAAAGCTTCGGAAAAAGTTTAGCAGGAGCTATCTACAAAGAAGAAAAATGGAGAAACGGAGACGAAAAAAGCTATTGACTACTTGACAATGCCTAAACTACAAGAAATCTTCACAACAGTTGCCATCGTGTGTCTTCGCTACGAGAGACTCGCTGTTTTGCAAAATGTTTTCGCTATTGTTCTTCTTTGAGCAAGAAAAGACGGTGAAAAACTTTTCGAAGAAACTGTACACAAGTAAGATAAAGAAGAAGGTAAGATGAAAAGTTGGGTTTGGGACTTAGAAAATACCTAAACTAGCACAAATCCTCAAAAGGTCAAGCGGTTCGAGGCAGGTATGTGTATCGGTCTTTTTCTTTTCTGATCATTGTATAAAACAAATATATTCCATGTTGCCGTGGGTCTGTTCAGTAATAGATCACAGAGGACGTCAAAATGTGGTAAAAACAACAGTGACACACTCGCCTGCGGCTCGTGTGCCACTTCTTTGTTTTTACGACATTTTGACGTCATCTGTGATCTATTACTGAACAGACGCACGGCAACATGGAATCTATTTGTTAAATAAATGAAAGTACTTGAAGAAGAGCTTGGCGTCTTATCTAGCATTATTCATAACATTAACACTTATCCATATACAATAGTGAAAGTATGTACAAGCTTAAACAGTGCATAATTTAGGTATTTTTATTATAACGTATTCCTCATCTATAACTCTGGAAGCATCCCTCAGAGGGCGTGGTTCTATAAATAGTACTGCGTGCACTATACTGTACTTTATCACTCTTACAAATTTCGGACCCGTGCTTCTACTCTAAGAATGTTTTTGCTGTTTAAAAGATAATTAATTCCATGGCTTTAAAGCTGGACGTATTCAGTTTGGGGCGTGCCGTCCTATCCAGAATTGCTCAGGGTATTGACCTCCATACCTCTGCCAAATTTCGTGCTTTTAACTTTAATTTGAACAATGTTGTACCATTTTCCTGTACTCATTGAAGCAATTTTAACCATTATGGCTTGATAGGTCGAGGAATATGTTTGTTATTCGGAAGTGCTTTTCAGTTCGGCTGTTTACGGTCAAAACCTTGCTTTCCCTAAAATCTGTAACTTTGAAATCATGTTACGCCGAGGTAAACCCACAATGAATTGGTTCTTTCCCCGCCGATCGATGTGACCGATGGATCAAATCAATGACGCTGAATTATAGACTGGCCGGTTTCAGCTCAGCTTCGTACATCGATTGGTCGTTAAGCCCGAGAGTGAATTAACACCGAAATAATGCAAAATGGCTTTGAATGCTATTTTGAATGCTTCAGTGTAACCGTACTAAGGATGATGAATCTATCTTTTTCATCCTAAATGTAGACTGGTTTTTTGTGCGTAATCGGGTATTGCGGTACATAAATGAAAACGGGAAACGCTCAGCTGAGTTGATCCTCATGGTATACATTCACTTTCCTCTGTCTTTCCCTGTTATATCTTGTGCAAGTTAAACAAATTGTTACAGTCAAAGCAGGTCAGGCGTTTCCGTCGCTAACGAACTAATGGATTCATTAATGGGAAAATGATTTCGTTAGTTGATTCTATAATCCATTCATAAAATGAATAATCCAATAGTCAAATTGGACCTTGGTTTAATAATTAAATGTTGATTTGGTTTATCAACAAAATCTACCTGCTGTTGATTCTTGTCTTTTGTGTTCAATCGTATTTTCTTCCCTTTTCCTACCGTTCACGGCTGCGTTGTTCATTGGCTTTTGTAATCAAAATAACGGCTAGCATAGACAGACCGCAAATTAAACGCAAAGAAACTGACAAAGACCGAGGATCGAAATCCACCAATAATCGCACATACACTGACCTCAGCTTGACCATCGTGTTTTCTAAGAGGTCAGGTCTGTTGCACTGATAAAAGGGAGCAAAATGGCGTACATGTACATGTGTAACAGTTTGTTTGGGTTCGACTCTTGGAAAAAAAAAAAGAAGAGAAAACAAAATTCTGAGGTCGACTTGCGGAAAGTGTAGTTTTTCAAAAACAGTAATCGAATCGACATTTGATTATTTAATCGAGGCTGAATATGAATTTTTGGATTGTTCATTTTATGAATGGATTATTGAATCAACAAAAGAAATCAATTTCCCATTAATGAATTAATTAGTTCGTTAGCGTCGGGAACGCTTGACCTGCTTTGACTGTAAAGTACAATAAATATCAACTCACCAAAAGGTTGATCAGAAGGTAAAATTTAATTAAGGTTTCCTCGAAGTTTCTTAAGAAAAGATAGCTCATCCAGGGACCGCGGAGGGGGAGAGGCTGGTAGGGCTATAGCCCTACCACTTTTTTGCTGGGATTTATTTTCTAGGGCTCTAGCTGACATGGAAAAAATTACCTGTGGAATTATTGGACTTTTCCCTAAAAGATGCATGGTTAGACTCTGTTGTTTTCGACGAAGGGGCGCTACCTTGGCATGCAACTGAGTATCTTCAGGGGCACCCAACGAGAATATAGTTCAAAACCACTTAATCATAGCATTGTTAAACGCATTACTTTTTAGTATTTGAACTGTAGATATAGGCATATTTTTATCCCCTAAAAATATTTCATCTGTTCGGATTTCCTAGCTGAAAGTATAGTGATTCGAAAATTATAGAGATCAAAAGTTGCCTTTTCGAGAATTTCAGCCAGAAAAAAGGCTCTCGAAAATTCTTGGTGACCTTTTAAGGGTAAAAATCCGTTAAAAATGGGCCATTATACTATTCTTTAGATGTTCGAAAATCCTAGGAGAGGCAGGCAAGCAAGAAATTTTACAACAAATTTTCCGAAAATTCTAGATCTCAAATCGTCTTCCGAACAGAAATTTTTCGAAAATTGACGCTGGGTGCCCCTGTATTTTGGAAGTTATGTTATAGGAGAAGATGGCTGTCAGAATGTTTTGACGAAATCCTGTTGGCGCTGTCAAAGTTTCCAGAACCAGAAAAGAAGCTAATTCAAAAAGCCCAAACTATCTGTAAGCTGTCTGCAACCAGCGCTGCTGACGAACGTTCATTCTCATCTGCACGGCGTCTGAAGACGTGGCTTCCATCCAGGATGGGTGACCTAGCAGTGTTGAATGGTCACAAGCGGAGAACAGACAGTGTCTCTATAGCTACACAGGAGTTTGTTTCCCGCAATAAGAATCGCAAAAAGAAGCTACGGCACTTAGGAGGTTTATTTAACATATTGCCTATATTGGATGGTATAACACGTATGGACGTTTATGTTATACTTGTTGAGGTGGTAAATAAGATGGCGAGCAAATGCACGATAAATGGAGAAACACCGCCAGATTTTTTAGCCCTACACTGTAATTTTCAGGGAGTTATAATAACTCCTCTAGTAGGGCTAATTTAACTCCTTACAGTGGAGTTATTTTTCGTGGAGTTATTTTAACTCCAAAAAGGAGTTTAAAGAACTCTTTTTCAGCAGTAAAAGTGACCCCAGATATTGAGGAGTTAAAATAACCCCAAAAAAGGAGTTATCCTGTACCTAAAATTTTTACTCCACTTTCAGAGTTAAATTAACTCCAAAAAGAGTAAAAACAACCCCTGTAAGGAGTACAAGTAACCCCATTTCGGAGTAATTTTAACTCCAAGACTGGGAGTAAAAAGAACTCTTTTTCAGGAGTAAAAATGACCCCAAATTCGGAGTTAAATTAGGAGTTAAAATAACCCCAAAAAAGGGGTTATCCTGTACCTAAAATTTTTACTCCATTTTTGGAGTTATAATAACTCCCTAAAAATTACGGTGTACCACCTTAAAATGGTCTCCGCGGTCCCTGTCATCGAATACCGAATAGTTACGAAATACCAGGATTTTTGTCATTGTGATAGATTGTTGCATCGTCATAATTCGCGAGGTTCTCACGCGCGATTCTACTCAATGAACAGTCTTTAACCCTGACGACTTGATTCTTTATGTTTTCAAAGCCATTGCTTCGTAACAGACCAGAGCCTTTTTTAAGGCTGTGGTTGTTACAAAACGAAACAGGTCTTCATACGTTCAAGTTACTATTATTACTGTGAAAAGCCAAGTTGCATGAGATGCACAGTCACACAGCTGGCAAGTGAAAGTGTTGGTTTTTGCCCCTTTCGTGGTTCGTGCGTGAGGAAATTCGAGTTATCACACTGTAATCTAGTAAACAGGATAATAAAAGTAACTCATACGCGCAATTTGCACGTGAAGATGTTGGACTTTGCCACTTTTACAATTTGTACTAACCTGAGATCAGGCTCAATTTTTGTTTCGCTCTCTTAATAACTTTCCGGCGGGCAAGGCGAAACGAAAAGAGAGCCTGATACAAACCTTTTCCGAATCAGCCAACCAAAATTACTTGCGTTCCTTGTTTTTTTAGTATGCGAATTTTCCATACGTGGGAAATATGCAGACTCGCTGAATAAAATAATAGCTTTTATCTTTTAATTTTTTCAACTGAAAATAAAACAGTCAGCACAATCACATTTAGCTTCTTGCGAGATTAAAGAAGATCTCGAAGGTTATTTCTGTTGGCGTAGAAGGTAAAAAGTTTTCGAAAAGATTGCGACACCAGATGTTCTAGTTTAAATATTTAGGCGAGCTCGAATTTAAAATACTGAAATTTCTTTTTTCCTGTTGATTTTATAGTTTCGTCGACAATTTTCCCCGATTTTCAGTACATAAATCGTTAAAAATCTTGGAAAAATACATCGCAAACTTTTTCAAAGCATACATAAATTATGTCAGAACAAAACCAAAGGAGTTCGGGAGTAACACTTGCAATCTGGGATTTTACCTAGAGAAACTAACGTCCAAAAAAAATGTGTTTTTTTATGAATCCATGTAAATATTAGCACTTTGGAAAGACGAAACGACACTACTAAAACTGCATGTTCAACTGACCTATAAACAAAAAGAAAAACAATAATTATTACAAACACGTACACTTTGTAGTTCACTTCTCCTTTAATTAGTTGTTGTAGTTTCACTGCAGGTCTGAAAAGCTCGCTAAATTTATGCATCGAAATTAACAAACAGCAAACAGCCAACGAACCAGGACACCAGTTTCCCAGGTTTATTTTGTACAAAAAGCGAAGGTAAACAACAAGTCTTTTTAATACCTTAAGACTAGCGCCCCTAGCTTTTATGATAATGCCTACAAAAATTCCTTGAATAGCGATATGTTATTTTTCACAGTTGGCGATCGAGGTTTCTGTTGCAGTGAGATGAGTTTAAGATGGACAGTATTTTGATTTGCACTCGTTTGTTGCTAAATTAAAAGTAACCCTGTTCGCAGTCAACAACTTGCAGAGGGATTCAACTCCGTTATACACTCACATCAGTTCCGCAAATAAAGCAAATCCTGAGAAGATATGAACAACCATCTGAATTTCCTTGGCACATATTAAGGCATATTTTCCTACCATAAGACCATAAAATAATAAAAAAAGACAGCAAAGTCGATCCTTCTCTCCGCCGACGGCGGATCATTCACGAAAACAATCACGCGATGAATAAGAGTTTTCAACTTCCGTCGATTCCAACAGCCAATCAGATCTGGTGGCATTGTTTCAACAGCCAATCAACGTTGCGGCCAAAATCTGGCCGCAGTGAGCAAACTTGTGAGAGTTTGTATCTGGCCCAACTTTTAGCGGTAGCCTTCAGAGAGAATGTATGAAAACCGCTAAATTGGGCCTGATCTCAGGTTAAATTTGTACGTGAGAGAACGCGTATTTGTTTACGAGATTACTTTGCTCAAACTATTTGAACAAATCACCTCCTTTTCTAACATCTGCGATAAAATTATGCATCATTCATTACTTTACTTCCAACAGAATGATTGTCAAATTGCTGAAATACTGATTTCTACTCATCTCATGTGATTCCACTAAAGAAAAAAAAATTCTCTAATTATTTCGTCAATGGCTACTTCCAAGTTTATTCGCTAACGCAAAAGTTTCCCATCTTTACTTAGCCACTTGGTAAATTAAATACTACGTTTTCATTACTTTATGTACATACAAAAGAGTTCATTACCTTCCACGAAAAGACCAATATGGCTGCCTACTATTTTCGTCACAGAAATATGGCCAACGAAATGTGACGTGACCTTAAAAAGCTCTTTTCTTATCCTTTGCGTGCAAACAACTAAACATTTATCTTGGTTGTCTTAGGTGTACTGTGACATGTCTAATGGCGGGTGGACACTTATTTCGCGATTCTCAAATGCTGACAATAAAAACTGGATGGAATACAGCGGTGATTGGTGGTATGACCGAACAACATCTTATGGCAGCGTTACCAGCACATCTAACAACTATGACATGATATCACCCGCATTCTGGCTCGTTCGAGGAAATTATATTAAAATTACCCGCAATGATGACAACTCGCATACCTACCTATTGTACACTCCTAATGGCTGCATCGGCGGAAATACCTTCAGAGGCTTTATAACCAGCTTTGGTAATTTCAGAAATGGTAACAGTTGGAACAGAGACGCTTGCAGAAGATCGTGTTATTCACTTTTTGGGGGTAGTTACTCATCCACATGGGGTTTCAGCCAAGCTACATGCAGCAGTAATCTTAAGAGTAACAATTACCTGTCCTTTTGGTGTGACTGGACTGGTGACGCATCTGTGTTGATGGTTGGTGGAGGTGGTAGTTACTGCAAGAGGTCGGACCATGGCATCGGCATCACAGAGAGGGGCGGCGCTACGTTAGGCGCATACAATAGTTGTGACCAAGACTTTGGTGATGACTGCGGCTATACTAGTAGTTATTCTCTTAATCTGTGGATTAAATAGCTTTGTTGGAAAACTGTAACTGAAGTAGAGAGCACTAAAGAGAGTACATTAGAAACGTAGTAGTTATTTTTAAAGCCGATACTGTATACAATATTTTAATGACAATGTAATCGAGGCGAAGAAAGAATTGATTTGATTGTCGCTCAAAGGAAATTCGTGAATAACAGTGAATTTTAATTAATTTTTCCTATAAGTGACGTCTGTAAAAGTACGTTATTCGAGGAAAAAAGACTACTGATACTTCCTGAGGGAAAAGAAACCAATAAATTGAATGAAGCCTTTCTATAAATGAGTGCAATAAAAGGTTTTCAGAAACTTAGGAAAAGGTCCTTAAACAGCTAACTCTTAGAAGGTCGGAGGTAGCTCCGGCGCTTACACGACTCCGGCAAATGAAAGCGGATAGTCAACAAAGTTTTCTACGGTGATTCTTTGCCCTGAAGTCAAAAACATGCCTTAAACACCACTTTTGACCAACAAATCAATGAACGTTGAGAATACAGCCGTCTCTCCTCGCTCAGTCTTTGCTGCTAAGAACCTAGCCTGAGACCAGGCTCCTCGGTGGGAGTTTGTTAATCCAACGATTTCTCGGGGTCGATTATATCCTCGACGAATAACAATTCAAAATGTTCAGTTTTATCTGGAACTCGTTCATCATAAATTAATGCATCCGTGCCTGTAAAAACATCCATGGATGCAACCATTTTACTTTTAATTTACCAGGGGAGATTGGCCCACTAAATAGAACTTTTCCGGCGATCCTTCTTCATTTAAAGCAACCCTCCCCTTCCTTCTAACCTTTTAGTTTAAGTCGTTATTTAAATTTCTGCTTTAATTAAATGAATGATTACTGTGGCTTGTGAAAGAATGATGAGGGCAAATAATTTTACGCAAAAGTCATTTATGGTGCATTGCAAAGGAATAGACGCGAATAATTTGAAGTGTTAGTGAAGTCCGCGGCTTTCTTTGTCAGTAAAGCTTGTAACAACAGTAAGTAATAAAAAAAAATCATTGCAAGATCATGCGTTCTGAAAAATGTGACGTAAAGAAAGAAAACACAATAACAAGCACTTGACTTTGTCCATTTATTTATCTATTGTTGTTATTCCTTCTGAATGTGTAATTTGGTAAAATTTGTTTTTGTCGCACCTCAGAGAATGACGCGTTGTCCTTTTCTTGTATTTTAGGCAAGAGAGGATAAAGGGGACAGAGAAGGCATCCCCCATTCTTCTCGAGTTATTATCCCGAGGGGGATTAGACAACAGCCAATCACATAGCGCGAATGTGTTCTGCGTGGATGACCCACGCTCAGAGCCACGCGTCCTTCACGAATTGACGCTGAAAAAATGGCGGAAGACGCGGAGAGCGAAATTGCTACTGATTCGTTTTGTCGACGAAAACGACTAAAGAGAGATTTCTGCTAAAGCTGTGTCAGCGAAACGGAAATTAAAAGAGAATCGCCCTTCCTCTCAGTCTTGTATAGAGCTAACAGTACGGCAGGGAAATCCTTAACACACTGAATATTCTCTCAGGATCATTTATAATTTACAGTTTGAAGAGAGAAATTTCTGATATTTATTCTTTTATTAGTCTTTTATTATTCAACATAAATAACACTTGGCGTCCTGCTTGCGTTATTGTACAAACGACCGGTTTCAATAGACCGGCGAAATTTCTCATGTTATTAAAGCACTGAGGTTACGACAACTTCGAGTTAAACTGATTTCACGGGTTGTCAAAGAGTCCAGCGATTCCCTTTTCCCAGGTGAGGGCCGACTCATTTTTTCGCTTCAATATTCAGAAATGCTCTCGATCTCTTTACGCTTTCATTGCCTTTCGCCCGAAATGTTTTGCACGACGTTAAGTCATGCGAAACCTCCACGAAACATCCACGCAGCGCGAGGTAACTTTATCCCGATTCTAATAATAACTCGAGACGAATTACCTATGGAATAGGGTGTGTACGGGAGATGCCTTCTCTGTCCCTTTATCCTCTCTTGATTTTAGGGTATATTTTTTTGCATCGGTGAACGTACCTTCTTAACTCTGGTGTATTTTACACATGCCCTTGGAAGAATTCTCGTTGTACTGCACCCATAACCAGTGTCGGATCCAGGGGAAGGGTCCTGGGGCTCCGGATGACCCCCTCCCCGCATCAGACTTGACGCTTGTTTGAGACTGGAATTCTTACATCGACAGGATCGTATATCACTTTCTAACTGGCTGATTTTTTAATGAAATGCTCGTTGCATTTTGCCACTAAACTAAATTCCAGGAATATTCAAAAATGTAATTGTTTGGGGTACCCTGCCATGATCTGTTCGCCTCTGCTCGCAAAGTAGAATTCAAGCACACGGTAAGGGGCCAAAGAATTATAAGCTTATAACGTGCGACCACTACTGGTGGGAGGGGGGTGGGGGCGAAGTAATTTGCCACAAAAAAAGTTCAACAGTCCTTTCTGAACAAAGTTTGGACCCCCCAATCAAAAATTCCTGGATCCACCTCTGATAACCATTTAATCTATAAAACTATCCCTCTCTGGTACTAAGTTTTATTAAGGGGAAGGCTTTAGCAATCTAGTAGCGACCAACTTAAGTGTTTTGGTCAGTTATCACTTTTGACAACATTTTGTTCCCCTCATCATATTTTTTTACATATAGCTGTAGAAGGCATTTCTTTGAAGTGCGTGATGAAGCATCTCGAACAGGTTGGGCTTAGAAGAGGATACTTCGGGGTTAATGGTGTTAATCTTTTTTTCTGCATGAAGACCTGCACGCACGCCCTCTCTTAGACGTAACCCTGTAAATCAATGGTTCAGTAACGTTCCTACGATTTGATTGTCAGGCCTTGTAGGTTTTACGTACAATCCCACAATTTGTGCATACTCTACAGTTACGCCTTATATAATATACCCCCTGGTGCGAAGCAGGAGAGTTGAAAATGAATCATTTGAAAAGAAATCTGTCATCCTCCTTTGATTTTGCTAATCCAGTCCTGCCCACTAAAAGTTGGCAATACTCCACTATAGAAAACCGCCTTGACGCTTATTGATTTACAATGACTGCCATTCATGTATTTTTTTTTGGACATTTTCATTTTTTTTAAAGGTCAATGAACAATTATTTCCCTAGAATTTAATGCTTATCCTGACGTCACTTTCCTTCATACTTTTATTTTTGAATTTGTTACCTTATTGACCAATTTCTATATTCTCAGTAGTTCCACCAAACACATCACCAATCTTTTTATTACCACCAAATACATTTTTTTCTTTCACTTTTCTGTTCTTATGTACTGTACTTCTATTCCGGGTTGTTAAAATGATACATTCTCTTTAGATTATACCCTGGAACAATAAATGAGAATATTTTTCATGATCAGTTGATGTAAATCGCTCTTTAAATGGAAAACAAGGCGAGTGTCTCTCAGAGGTATCGCAGAGGTATTGACGATACCCGAAGCGCACAAGTCAAGTCCCTAGCAGCTGCATCTTCCTCTGCAATGATGGTGGCGTTCCCAGGTGCACGGATAGTGGCGACGACTTTGATTTTGTGTACAGCAGCGTTTCTGGCTGAAGGTAAGATTTACACAGTTCCATTTTTATGAGTTTATTCTAGAATACAGTAAAGAAACAGACGCGAGTTACTCGAGATTTTTAGGGGGTGGGGTTGGGGACATCAAAACAGTGTTCAACTCGAGATAAAACTGAATAAGAATGAGGCGCACCACCCGTAGCAGTATATTTTACCCTTATTTTTACAAAAATTTAAATCCTAAGTTTGAAAATTTGAGTTTGATGTTCTCCTCCTTCTCTTTCACTGTAGTATCAAGGGTCATCAAGCAGTTTAGTTTACGCGTACTCGAATATCCTTTGTGACACTGCTGAACGGTTTCTTAATATTCTTAAAACTTTATGGACCGCTTAACAAAAGTTCCGTCTTGTTGAAAAAAGTAGTTTGGAACCACGCAGAGGGGTCAGTTTATAGAGATTAGCTGTTAATTTAAAAAAATAGAAAATAGCCTTTGACCGAACCGAAACGAACCGCCATTCCACCTCGCTGATTGTTCCATAACCCAATGCTCTATATACAATTTTCATTTCAGGACAAAGTCTCCTGCAGCATGGAAAGGTTAATTTCACCGTCGTATCTCCAAGCCTGCTCCACTGCAAAACCGTGCAATATCCTCAGGTATTTTCCAGCTCCAGTAACATCCGTGTTCTCGCATCCATCAGCCATGGAAACAAATCGCTAAGTGTGCACGATTAAGCAGTCGTTTGGACTTCAGATGTGACACAGAACAGCTTCCGCATTTGCGTGCTAGTATAGAGTCAGGCCTTGGTACAAATGGATCTGCTGTAGTAAACTGGATTGCGTTTCGTGGCACGCCTTCTGGCGCCCTCGACGGCGCCGCCTCCTTCAACGCGTTCACCAGCGGAACCAAATGTGACAGAGTTGACTTTGCTCAGGTATGGTTTCGATGCAGAGTTGTTTTCTTTCTAAGCGTTCACAAATTATTTTTAGAAACCAACAGGGCTTCTTAGAACTGGTGAAATTTTCCACAGAGTTAGCTACATTGGGAGGGGAGCCGGGATGCTTTCTCCCTACCCGTCCCCACAACGGCCAACTTGGGGACAGAAGAAAGTGGTTGTTGTGGAGAGGTGGCCGTTAGGGGGTAGAGGTGTGATATGACAATCTTTTCTTAGGGAGTACAACATGTTTATTGTGCTTAGTTCATCCTGACTATATCCCACAATGGTAATAATCCAATCATAACCGAAATAATAAGTAGAGATAAAATACACAAAATGGCTTGAATTATGTTTTGAATCAAAATCGGTTAAAGTGACAAAACGAAAAAGGTTCGCAATGTTCGCTATAAGTATCGTTGACAATTTATACCTACTGCAGCAGTATAAATGAACAAAATCAAAATGTGATTACCGTGATCAATCATAACGCGCCATATGTATCAAATTTCATGACCATTCTTGACTTCAATCGCTTAAAAAACCGGCCGTTGTCGAGAGGTTATTTTGGAAGTTACAGTCGCGCTTTAGTGGCCGTTGCCGTTGTAGAGAGGTTTAAATAAGAGTCAATTTACGGACTGTCTGCCGAGACAAAATAAGGTGGCCGTTGTAGAGAGGTGGCCGTTAATGTAGGTTAGACTGTATTGCCATCAGCCTGTACATGTACTGACATACGTTTGACTCGTAGCCTTGGAAAACAGCCGATATTTCGCGACGCCACCACTGGTTTCCCCCCCAAATGACGTCTAAGAAGCGAGCGCAGAAATTCCATACTAATGACGCGTCACTACCCAGATCTAGGTAGTCGATCGTTTTATCAGTATGAAATTTCTTTGCTCGTTTCTCAGACTTCATTTGGGGGGGAAACCAGTGGTGGCGTCGCGAAATGTTGGCTGTTTTGTCTGTTTTCTCAGGTTTTTTGACGCTTACAGTCGACTCCCGATAACTCGAACCCTCGCTAACTCTAACCAAAATCGATTTCCCCTGGATTTTCGTCATACATTTACTGTAATTTTACCCTCGGTAACTCGAACCCCCGATAACTCGAACTTCCGCTAACTCGAACCAATTTTCGTTTTCCCTCAGGTCGTTTTCTATATTATTTTACCCTCGATAACTCAAACCATGTTTTGAGCCCTTAAAAAGTCGGGAAAAAAGCCGTATACTGGCGTCCGAAACATTGAATTTTGGATTTCCTATTGACGTGTTGTAGGAGTATAGTTTACTAGTAGTGATTGTCACAGGCTAACGTGAAGTAGCTTTTCTTCTCAAAACAGTAAAACGCATGTTCTATTTAGGCTATCTTTTGTTACGTTACGTTCTGATTTATTTCTAGAAGTACCTTTTAATTTTCTCTTGACATTTCTACAATTATGTGATTAAAATGTTCACTGTGCAGTAGAAACTGTTTTTTACCTTACTTTCGGCTATTTTCTTCGAACTCCCGATAACTCGAACCTTTTTTCTATTCCCCTAGAAGGTTCGAGTTATCGGGAGTCGACTGTAGTTAGTTGAAAATTTTTCCCACTACCTTCCCAAACTTCCACCTGGCGACCGTCTTTATCTTCTTACTTTTGCTTATATATTTTTTTATCCTATAGTTTGTCGTAAGTAATTTCTAATTTGTGGTGGATTTTTCGTCCCCACCTTTCCTGAAGAGATGTTAATTAGTGATTTTTACCGTTTTATTATTATTATTATTATTATTATTATTATTATTATTATTAATAATTTTATTTTTATTTAAAACTCACGCTTGTAGCCATTTATCCTAAACAGCTGATATTCTTTTTTGGGTCATCTCTCATGCAGTAAACAAGTGCGGTGCGGTGGACCACCCCGCGGAGCTCTCCTGATTTTTTAGACTCGCAATAAAAAAATTTTTGCTTCTTGATAAACTGATGTATCACAATCTTAATCATGTATATCCTACCCTAGTTACAAACTGTTCAACTTGGTGCGGAAATTGCTTATCACAAAAATGGCATATTTTGAAAAGATCCATTTTGTCGGAGACTTTCTTACCAACATTTTAAATAGCGCTTTGAAACCGGTAAATCAGCCACCGGAACCCCATGCTACTTCACTCCTAACCCCGCCCTTTGAAGTCATTACTTACGGCTATAGCCCTCGGCTGTAGCATTCATTAATGTAACAAGATATTAAATGATTAAACGTAACAAACAAAAATGGTCAATTATGTTGGTTTACACATTCTATTTTCCATAATTGTCCTTGTGAAATTGAATAACTGACAGTAAGACATTTCAGACCTTCATGCCACTGTATTGTGACGATGAGGAGAGGCAGTGTCCTGGTTCTTCCAGTGATACTAGCACTTTTCTTAGGATCAAGGATCTGTCACACTTTGAAAACGTATGAGCAAAGAAAAGCAGGTTTGTGGGCCTTACGTTTACTTTAAACTGCTTTTAATGCTTTTTAACTTAGTTAATTTTGTAGTAGTATAGCGCTAAGCTAACTTTCCGTGCCTTTATCTCTAGGATGAAATAATTTTGAAATAGCTTTCGATTGCTGGCATTTTTAGATAGGATAACCTGTGTGTTCTAAATGCGCGCGTGCTTTTGTCGGTTGCGACACTAACATGAACAGGGAGCTTACGCAAACACGAAAGTGACGGCACCGAAAACGTCATAAAGTGAATTCACGCTTTTGAAGCTGAACTATTGATGTCTTCCATTTGCTTTAATTTGTCAAGTGTAGACAATCTTTTCTGGAGCCGAATTTTGGATCATATCGAAGTTAAGAACTAAAAAGAAAAAAAATTGTCCAAATAACACATAAAACAGAATGATTAAGCATCATGTTACGTGAGACAATCTGACCTAAATCGATCTGCTAGACTGCAAAACAGCATTTATTTTTTTAGAAAATAAAAGAAACTGTCGTTGATTAAGGCTGTTGACTATCTCTGCATTTTCTTAGATTTTCTTACTCACGCCCAATACGGCAAACGTCAGATTCAAGTTGAGAATTTCTCAAAATAGAAAATAAACAATTCAGAACAATTCTAATGTATAAAAATGGCGCACTAAATTTTGTGTAAACGTAATGAACAGTAAACAACAGTAAAGGGCCGGAAAGGGAAAGTTAATCACGTGGTGCAAATTCAAGTTTCCCGTTTGACGTAAACGTGATTCTAAATCTCTCTATTAAAATTATGCGCAAATAATGTGTGTACATGTCTAGCCCTTCCTTGAGAGAATATATGGGTCTCCTCTAATGATATTTATTGTGTAGGAGTAACAAGCAATGCTTCAATATACTCACACCCTATTTTGCAATATCAAGAAGGAGGGGAAGAAAACAAAGATGGGCCTAACCTTTTAGTTCAACATCGCGTCAGAAAGGGAGTTGGTGAGTAATTCCAATTTTAACTGAGATTCTCGAACACGTTAATTTTTTTTTCTTTTAGGTATTGGTCAAAGAAAATAATCAGAGTTGGTTTGCAAACTAATAATCATCCTCTCTATTTGTCTATTTGTTTTATTTTTATTTATTATTTACTGTTGTTGTTTTTTTTTGACAAGACGAGAGGTTGAGCAACGACTTTACCCTGGAACAAATTCAATACAACTGTGATCGTAAAAGAAGCACTGATCTCTGGGGAAGCACTTGTATTACGGCTTAGTTCTACCGTTCTAAAAAGTATCTCATTTTCGGAGTATTTAGATTGTTCCCAACGCCCTTTTACAACATTTTCTCGGTAAAAACTGCTGTGAAAATCAACAGAAACAATAGAGAACTTTAGATTCGAGGACGAGAACGACTACGAGTACGAGATTTCATTTAAAGTTTTGTCGCGTATTGTCAAAAAATAGACACCACGGAATTCTTCATTGTACTTTTTTTCCCCGAAAAGTTAGCACTGCTATCGTTATTGAAGAAGGTTGAGCCCTCTCCCGATTGCAAAATGCTAAAACTTTTAACGTTTGATAACTTGTTCCTGCCACTGAAGGTGATGTTACAAGAGACGATTCGCAACGACGATTTTTACCGCAACACCGCGTTGCAACTTTATTGCGACGTTGTTTCGAATGGTTACAATCTTGTTCAAACATTGCAACGACGCTGTGTTGCGCTAAAAATCGTCGTTGTGAATCGTCCCGTGTTCACGTGCGAGCACTTCTTACTATTGAGAAAATCTCGTACTCGGAGTCGTTCTCGTCTTAGAATCTAAAGGCATTTAACAACGATATTCCAGACGTTTTTGTTCAGTTGTTGTTGTTGTTACAGTGTAATTATTGTTTTTATCGTTGTTGTCAGTTGCTTCAGTTTTTCGGTATTGGCCAGACTGTTGCAACTTCAGGTATTTTTTCCACCATAGTTAATGACCTGAATGAATTGAAGGACAAAGCAAAAAAAGCAAATTCAGCTTACAAATGGATAAAAGAGAATTGGAAGAAAATTTTTGTGATCATTGTTGCGATGTTTGCATTGATTGTTGTCGTGGGAATCTACCGAAGGTGTTTCTCTGATTCAGGGTAAGTTGGAGTCTTTAAAATTACCGTCATATCATGCATATATTCAAGAAGTAGGACTGACACGGGCACTGACATACAAGAAACAACCAAATTATGCACTGAAGGCACACGTACCAGCTCCACGGTATGACCAGTAGCTTACGCATGCGCACAACCATATCACTCCGGCAGTGGACGCAGTGGATAGTACCAGTTCATTTGATTTCGTGAACCTGGCTGGTTAGGCCTTTGTCACAGTGTTCCACTTCAATCCTGTTTTAACTTCCCGGGATAGCTTTTTGGTGCCGTGCTGACTCGAAAAGCTATTCGGTGTAATGTGAACACCTATCCGGATATGTGACTCTCCACTTTAGAGTTTATTGGTGTAGCACAGTTTCGCTCCGTTACAGAAATCGCGCAGGAATCACTGTTTTATGATTGGACGGAAGCCCTGTCCAGTATGCTTGTACATTTTCTTACCGGCGCAAAACTGAGCTGTCCGATATGAGTTGTGAACAAAGCGTTAGTATTTAAGACTGCGTAATGTTGTGTGTCAGGCTGTGCTAGAAAAGGAAATTAGAAAGTGTCCGTCGATCATTGGGTAATTCGGTTTAAGGTCTAACTTTTAGAATGAGTACCACAGAAAATTACATGTGGAGTTTCCACACAAGACTGTCGTTAAATTACCTAAATCGATTGCGAGAGGATTTAAGTCCTTCTTCTTGACTTGATCGATATATACCTCATGACAAATTACCCCTGGAATTTGTTATGACCATCTGGTCTAAATTGTTGTTGTCTCCTGCTTTTGTTTAGCTTAATAACTTGTACCCTTTTAAAAGTACCGAGACCTTCACTTAACACGACTCGAGAAGAGGAGTAACTTTTAACTGGCCGTAAAATCTTCAGGGTAACCTTCGCCATTCCTAAACCGAGATTAGCAACTTCGTTAAATAGTTTTCAAAAAAGAATTTTTAATACATTATTAATATTCTGTCATTTTTTTCTCAGCTCTGATGAAGACGACGTTCAACCCAACATTGTCGTTTTAAAAATGCAAAAGCCATACCCGAAAGGCAATGGTGAATTTGACGACCCGATCATGCGGGAAGGGGTCACTCAAGGAAGTAATGAGGGCAACAAGGAAGGAAAAGGTCTCCAAAAAGGCACTCATGACTCTGAGATCAAAGGTCACACAGGTAAAAGGGTCGAAGACAAAATGGCAGCTACGGGAAAAGCTCGAAGCCAAACCTTAAGAGCCTTAGCAACGTCAAGAAACGTTCATTGCAAAGACGTAAGAGACTTCACACCCGCGACTTCAAACTCTTTTTTTGAAGATGACGGATTTCATCGTTTTGAGATGGATAGTATTCCTGTTTCTGGATATACTACTTTTCAGCAAAGAGACTTTTCTTTGCTCTACTTTTATTTCTCTAAGCAGCTTTTCAAAGTGAAAGCGCAGGCAGACCAACTAAGCATCCAACCTACAATGATCTGGCAGGGAAGCCTGAGCAAAGGTCCATTTGCATTCTACGAGGAAATACCACTGATAAAAATGTTGGTAATGTCGTCGAAAGCGAAATACTGTAACGATTATGTACCAATTGCTCACACAAACACCAACATACCCTTGACTGTTTCACCTTAAATAGTGCACCTTCTGTGTAAAAGATCGGACCTACGGATATCTTGTTGGACGTGTTTAACCAGTCAATCTGTCGTATCAAGTAACAAGTATATTTCCTTAGCCCACGTGGCTCAGTAATTGTAGCTCTTCGACTACGCTTCTTTTTATTATTTGAATTCAAAGGCAGATCAAATTATTCAGCATCAAACTAACTCAGATTCATGTTTATACTGTTATTTATCCCACTAAACGGTTTCTTGTTAGTACAGTTTTTTCAACACGTCCTTCCTGACAGTGGAAATCAATTTGGTTGCACAGATTTCACAACCAAAGGATAAGGACTTAAAAACAATGCTCTTTTAGAACTCCCTATGTTATAATGCAGAATCTGCAGGCGCCTCCCCTAGATCTGTCACTGTTACTACTGATATTGTCTTTTGCTCAATGCAAAGTCAGGTGATCGATATCTGGCAAAACTCTTTGGTTTTTTTTTACAAACAACAGTCATTCAAAGCTTATTATTAATGACTTCAACATTCTGCTGAAAGACAATGAAAATAAAACCTTTATCAGCTGGCCATGTTGTGTATCTTAATAACATCAGGACGGCAGTTAAAGGCCTTCAAGGCCCAGTTGTTCAAAGGCCGATTAGTGCTTAACCCAAAGTTAAATTTAACCCGGGTTTCTTTTTCTTGTGTTTAAAAGCATTTTCTCGGTAATTTCCTCTGTTATTTTTAAAGTTTTCAATAATCAACTTGTCGACAAAAAGAATTAAAACTGAAATGATTTTTAAGCTTTCATATCTGAATTCAAATCTCTCACTAACCCTGGGTTATCTTAATCCAGCTTTGAACAACTCGGCCCCCAGAAGCTGAACTCTTATTTGTTTTAGCTTTCAGCTTTATTGGTCTAAATCTCTTCTCAGCTAAATATAAATGAAAAAGAAAAAAAAGGTAAGGTGTGAATGGCACCTGAAGTCTTATGCAGGGCACCTCCCATATAAATCGGAAAAAATCACTCTTAAAAAAAAATATCTTAAACAATGCTTTTGAAACTATTGTTGCCAATGCCAACCACAATTATGTGCTAGACCCCATGAACAAATTTTATTCGGGTCAAAAACATTTGCTGGCTCATCAGTTTAGTTACAGTCGACTCTCTCTGAACAGACACCTCTATAAGACGGACACCTCTGAAAAACGGACACTTAGAGTTGGTCCCTGCCTTTCTTTACTCCTTTTATTTGACTCTCTATGAGACAGACACCTCTCTAAGACGGACACTTAGTACCGGTCCCAAAGGTGTCCGTCTTAGAAAGAGTTGACTGTCTTCAATTCTTAAGAGTCTTGATGCTGAGAAACTGACTGGGTTTAATTAATTTACAAATTAGGTTCCATACGATTAACAAAGGAGGACTGATAAGTAACTGATTTACAAAAGGGCATCCAAGACAGAGTAAGGGAGTTCACTTACTGGGTTTATCATAAGGGAAACATTGTAAGTCATGCAGCTGGATAACTGGCTCCCAAAGGAGTTTCTCTTTCAAGTTTTGGTATCCAAGTCATTGGAATTTAAAAACAACCCACTATGTGTTATAGCAAAGACAAGTCCCTGGTCCAAGTCCTGAAGGATGCAAACAAACAAGCTCCAAATGACTGTTTCTTAACTTCTGGATTTACTTTTGAAACTATTTTCTGTTTGTGAGTGAAACAAAGGGAAAATATGACATGTATTTCAATACTTTAAGGCTATTTCCATGTATCCCCTTCATCAAGAGATCAAAGATACCTTAGGATCATATTAAGTTTTGCACAATGTCACTTTTAACAGAACAAAAAGTATGTGTATGTTTTTACGTTTTTAATATAGTTTACAGAGCAGTTTACAGCACTGTATTTTTACAGCCCCGCACTAGAGAAATTGAGCCTACACATATTTTTAGTCACATTTAAGCAACTCAAACAATGTAGGGCCATCACCAGTGTCAAATACTTGATTTAACTTAAAAGCCACTTTACAACATAATCTGTTAATCAAGATTAACCACTCACTCTTGGTTCTGAATCTTCCTGTCTTACACAGTGTCATAATGTGAATACCACGAAAGCCAGGATGCAGCCCTGATGAAGTTACATTGTGGTCTGTGTCTCCAGCTTCGGGATTACAACTATTCACAATTATAAACTTTCCACCTTTTATAAGAACTTCATGACATTTTTCCAAGACTTTGATCATTTCATCATCGGTAAAAATTACAAACAAGTTTTTGATAATGATGGTATCCACTTCTGTTGATTGCGGCACATCTTTCAGGATATTTCCCATAGTAAATGTCATTCGATTATCCGGAATCCCCTCTTTTGCTAAGAACTTTTTGGCACGTTCAATAACATCCGGGAAATCAAATAGAACCCCGTTGACGTGCTCGCATCCCGGTAATTTAAGTATGCAAGACAAAAACTGACCCTCCCCTCCCCCGATGTCCATGATCTGTTTGCACTTGCCCCAGGGGTACACGGTGAAAACGCTTGGCTGCGAACTGAGCAGCTCCAACTGAGATAACATATTCATAGCGCGGTCATAATTATGTGCGAATTCGCACCTTCTTTGCTGCGAACCCAGATCTCGTACGAGATTATTCGTTGTCGCTTTTCCAGGTACATACTCCAGGGTGTCAACTTTGTACATGTAGTCGTAGATGTTCATGCCATGAGCAAGCTCAAACGCTGTAACACCATTTTTGACCGCATCAGGAAAAACCAACATACTGCTCCACACTTCATCGCTACCATAATAAGCAACCATGTGTCCGAGACTCGGTCCTTTGTCTCTCCTTAGCAACTCCATGGTCTTATTAGCCTTAAAAGACCTCTCGCCGCTAATTTCCTCTCCAATGCCCCACTGAGCCATGGTTCTCATGATTTTGTAGATCTGTTCGTCTGTGCGACATCCAGTCCTTTTAGCAATCTCCTGAATGCTGACGGATTCGGAAGATTCACATAAAAGTTCCGGGATGCCTAGGGACACCAAAACACTCAAGCAACGGCTCTTCCATATCCCACTGAACATGGATGCGATCACCTTTTCTTCAGTGTTACAAAAAGCGCCTTCAGCCGCCTTCTGCGCCGCCATAATTGTCCAGATATGGTCTGCGTGACATTTGTCACGCAATAGCTCATTCCAGTCCTTCACGGTTGGCTGAGTTCCCTGGCCTTGCTTTGTAAAGCCTGCGACTTTTTGACGAAGCATTGCGCAACGTTTATAAGTTCCTCGTGAAATGTCTAGTTGAAAGCAGGTGAGGCATTTTAATCAACAGCGGTAAGCTTTTCCTTTGGTTACATAGAAATACGTAAAAGTACTTAACAGAAGGGACAGGTCATTAGTCATGTTTTCTTCAG